CTCAATTTATTAATCTATCAATCTATCAATCTATCAATCTATCAATCTATCAATCTATCAATCTATCAATCTATCAATCTATCAATCTATCAATCTATCAATCTATCAATCTATCAATCTATCAATCTATCAATCTATCAATCTATCAATCTATCAATCTATCAATCTATCAATCTATCAATCTATCAATCTATCAATCTATCAATCTATCAATCTATCAATCTATCAATCTATCAATCTATTAATCCATCAATCCATCAATCCATCAATCCATCAATTTACTAATAAGTCACAATCTCATTTCTATCAATCCATCAATCTATCAAACTATCAAATTTACCATTTTCTAAATTTAAAAGTTTGAAACCTCAAACTAGAAAATTAAAAATCTCTAAATTTAAAACCCTGAAAATTTCCTAATTGCGAAATAAAAAATTGCTGTAATTCGAGTATAAAAAAAATTATACTCAAAGACGAAATAACTATTGCTATCATGTCCACACAATTTTAATGGAGATCAGGCAGCCAGATATAAAGACCATTATTCCCATTGTGAGACATTTATCTTTTCTATAAGGCAGTCCATAAAAGACGTGACGAAAGGAAATGATTGAATTCACGCTGTTGAATCATCATACACGCCACAAATTTCTGAAACGTTTGTTTAAAAATTGTTGCTTTTTATCTGAAAACTTTCCACCATAATATCTAACTTATGTTTCTTTGGTTTCCTTTCTAGCATTCGATGTTGAAATCGGATTTTTGCGTCGTTACGTGTGTCTCGCGTCTAATTCTATTTAATATTTTTCAATATTCAGAGATAAAATTATTTCTATTATTTAATTCAACAATTCTGTAATTATTTTAAAGTAATAATTATACATATAATTATATATAAATAATGACTTTTATAATCATTTGAAAATAATAATTGTGTAATTATGTATGTGTAAATGACAACTATGTGATTGTTTAATAATAATTTAAAAATTGTTAAGTTAATTTGATAAATTGGTAGCTTGATAGTTTGAGAGTTATGAATTGTCCATATTATATGTATTAATTTATTTATCTTCTAATTTATTAATTTATTAATTTATTAATTTATTAATTTATTAATTTATTAATCGATTAATCTATTAATCTATTAATCTATCAATCTATCAATCTATCAATCTATCAATCTATGAATCTATGAATCCATCAATACGTCAACCTACTAATCTACCAATCTATCAACCCACCAATATATCAATCTCTCAATCTACCTATCTACCAATTCATCAATCCATCAATCCATCAATCCATCACTCTATCAATCCATCAATCTATCGATCTCTCAATCTGTCAATCTATCAATCCATTCAACCATCAAACCACAAAACTGTCAATCCATCAATCTACTAATGTATGAATCCATCAGTCCATGAGTTAATTAATCTACTAATCTATCAATCTATCAATCTATCAATCTATCAATCTATCAATCTATGAATCCATCAATACGTCAACCTACTAATCTACCAATCTATCAACCCACCATACCAATCTATCGATCTATCAATCTATTAATCCATCAATGAATCAATCTATCAATCCATTAATTTACTAATAAGTCACAATCTCATGTTACAATAAAAATTCCCTTTTTTATTCTGAAAACATAATATTCAATGGACTATACGAACAATTTGGTTTATTTTCCACGGATATGAATAATAATAATCGTTTCATACGTCAACCGAATAATGATTGACTGCTGGCCTGAACAACGTTATCACTCTCAATAACTTTATCGATACTTTTATAATCTGTAAATTGGATGTTTGATTAAAAGCGTTTTAATTAACCAGGTCAAATTGGTGTATAAAATTGGTGTGTACATTGTATACACTGGTGTGTAAAATTTCAATTTACTATAAACTACTAAAAATTTATTATATTTGCAAACATAATATTATTGAATTGATATAATTTTTATTATTTAAATTAATTTATACCCAAATTATTTAATCGATTTTTAAGGCATTCAAACTGATTTGAAATTATATGAGTGATTTGTAAATTATTTAAATGGATTTGAAATTAAATTACATGTTTGATAAATTTATTAAATATTAAATTATTCAATTATTTAATATTAAATCATTTAATATTTAATCACCAATTTATGTGACATTATTTAATATTGATAGTTTTAATATTCTAGCAATTTACAACTAAATTTTTAAATATATTTTTTTACAATTAAAATAAATCAAAATTGTTCAATATGTAAACTTAAAATGATATAAAATTAATTAATATTTATAGGTGTAACCTACAGTTGATTAATAATGAATTGTAAAATACTTTTATTGATGAAAACAAAAAAGCTGCATAAATAAATTATGGCTACAAAAAAATACATAATCAGTAAATGTTATCAAATAAATTTTTAACAATTTGTAATTCATTAAAGAAAGTTTAAAAGTTCAAATATATTGTTGTAAAACAAAACAGATGATTAATGTATCTCCGACCATAAATTATAAACGACCAAACCAAAAATATCTCAGTATTACGTAATTTAGGAACAGTTGTTAACACAATTTTGCTCTCATTATTGATGCACATGCATACATGACCTTCAATATTTTAATCAAATGTAAAGTGATTGAAAGAATGTTATCTATATCGAATGTCTGCTAAATATACATATGTACATATAATTGTACATAAGTGGATGGATAATCAATTTTAGACAAACAGGTATCTAATCTTTGTTTATTGTTAGTCACTTGCGCTTAACAAATTTGCGTTTCAGACGGCATTGTTATTGTGCATTATGAAGTTGCGATATTGATTTTGCTGAATGAAGAAAATCTATAAATTTACAGATTTAGCATTCTACAATTCTATAATTCTAGAAATACATAAATTTACGAATTTACAGATTTACGAATTTACGAATATACGAATTTACGAATATACGAATTTACGAATTTACGAATTTACGAATTTACGAATTTACGAATTTACGAATTTACGAATTTACGAATTTAAGAATTAACAAATCTACAAATCTTAAAATCTCCAAATATTCAATATTCAAATCTTCAAATCTCCAAATTTACAATTCCAGAATTCCACAACTCCACAATTCTACAATTCCACAACTACGCAATTCCACAATTCCACAATTCCACAATTCCACAATTCCACAATTCCACTATTCCACTATTCCACAATTCTACAATTCTACAATTCTACAATTCTACAATTCTACAATTCTACAATTCTACAATTCTACAATTCTACAATTCTACAATTCTACAATTCTACAATTCTACAATTCTACAATTCTACAATTCTACAATTCTACAATTCTACAATTCTACAATTCTACAATTCTACAATTCTACAATCCTACAATCCTACAATCCTACAATCCTACAATTCCACAATTCCACAATTCCACAATTCCACAATTCCACAATTCCACAATTCCACAATTCCACAATTCCACAATTCCACAATTCCACAATTCCACAATTCCACAATTCCACAATTCCACAATTCCACAATTCCACAATTCCACAATTCCACAATTCCACAATTCCACAATTCCACAATTCCACAATTCTACAATTCTACAATTTTACGTGAGTTTAAATCTGCAAATTTACATATTGACGAATCTAGAAATTTACAGATCTGTAAATGTACTTAACAAATTAATAATGTTACAATTTTACATATGTACAAATTTACTAATTTACATCAAGCGATTGAAAAATTGCTCGCGTTTCTGTCAAGTCACGCCACGACACGAGTGCAAATGCACCGACATCACGTTTCACGCCTTCGTCTCCCCTGATTAGGTAATTGTCACAGCGGTTTGCGGTTGCAACGAACATTTTCTTCTGTATCACGTCCACGAAACGATATCCGATCTATCCATTCAAGAGATGTGTTCAAAAGATTATTGTTTATGTACTGAAATATTTAACCAGTGGACTGCAATCAATCCAGTTATCTCCCCAGGCTGACTTCTGACCATGTGCATTAATTTTCCTCTTGAAGTTATTATACTTATCTAAGACAATATTCTGGAACGTTTCTTATAGAACATTTTATTTAAACCATATATATTTTTTAATTCAAGTATGTCTATTAAAATTGATGTTATGTATAATTATATTTAAATATTCATCTATAGATGTACATAATTTTATTTCTTTTTATTTTAAAAATGACTTTGTATATATTTTTATGCATGTATATGTATATAATATTAAAAATATTAACATTAATATTGTTCTAAAATCAAATAATTCAATAATAAATTCGTTTATTATGTATTTAATATACTATTAAATAGTAGCTTTTGGAAATGATTTGTAATATTATAATATTATTACGACATGTAATAATTTATGCAATAAAGAAATTTTACATATGCAACATACATGTATTATAATATTAAATTATTATTATAACAGCATGATAAATTTGACAATTTATGAATTCAGAAATTGAAGTACAAATATGAAAATTCAAGTTTATCTCAAATTTGATTATTATTACAAATATCCAAGATTACAATAATTTTTCAATTGTAAATGATTTTTCAAATCATTTACAAATATAAAGAAATACAAATTTTTGAATTTCTGAATTTTTCAGCCAGAATCATTTATAAATATTAAAATATAAAAATTGTTGAATTTCTAAATTTTTCAACCAGAACCATTTACAAATATAAAAATATAAAAATTTTTCAACCAGAATCGAATCATTTACAAATATGAAAACTTGGTATCCGCTAATTTCCTCTGCAAACCCCAGGCAATTACCTAATCAGCTCGCAAGCGTGAAAACAAGTTATCGGTGCAGTTGCACTCATATTGCGACGTGACCCGAAAGAAAGAAACGCGAGCAACTTCTCTACGACTCGATCAGCTGAAAAATTCGATAAGCATTCTAACTGTCGTATGTTTGTACTCTTCTCGATTCAAACGATGGGTCAGTAGCGGCTTGTATCTCGTCAAGCGTCAATCGTTACCTAGTCTGACGTTACCGAATATTTCAGTCACATATTTCAATTGTATCGTTACATTTTGTGTCGAAGTTTAATTCATTTATTGATACTTTACTAACATATTTACTTAACTCAAATGAAATTGTTTTAATTACTTTATATTTTTGCTTTTAGTGTACAAGTTTAATTCCATCGGTTTGCTAAAATATTTGAGTTACTTAAATTTTATATTTTTCGTGTTTGAGTTTAATTCTATCCATAGTTTGCTAAAATATTTTCTTAAGTTTTTTAAAATTGTTTAAACTATTTTATATTCTTACATTTGGTGTCTGTATTTAATTCTACCCTTACTAAAATATTTAGCTGAATTTTTCAAATTTTATTCAACTCTATTCAAAATATTTGTATTTCTACAATTCGAGTTTGAGTTTAATTCTACTTTGCTAAAATATTTTTCTGAGTTTTTCAAATTTTATTCAAATCTGCCAAAAATATTTAAATTTCTACATTTTGAGTTTGAGTTTAATTCTACCCCTACTTTGCTAAAATATTTCACTGAGTTTTTCAAATTTTATTCAAATCTACCAAAAATATTTAAATTCCTACATTTTGAGTTTGAGTTCAATTCATCTATCGATACTTTGTTAACTATATTTATATTCGAATCCGTAAAATCCTTGAATTTGTTCGAAAAGAAAATTTGTACGAAACGTCCGAAAAGAACAGATTGCTGAGGTTTGTTGAATATGAAACGATAAATCGAGTGGTTCGAGAAACATGGAGAAGGAAAGCGTGATGAGTGAGCGGGTTGGGGAAAATTTGGAAAAGGATGTTAAGAATGTTGGTAAGTAATTGAATCGAGTGTTATGATGTTAAGTGGTATGCTGTTGTTGTGGATATTAATTTTGTGTGGAAATTTGATGTGTATGGAAACGTTAGAGTACGTTGTGATTGTTGTTTCACAACGTACAGCATATCTGTGGTGATAAATAGTCCCAGTGTGACCTTTGCAATGACAAAAACAACCCCATACGATTTTCATAATCTAATCATAGTTGTTTACATTATTTTACATTTGCAACAATTTCAACTTAAATTTAAATAAATTGAATAATTATGCTGGGAGTGTTTAACATGTGGTATACATGAAATTGTTTAGGAGAGGACTAGGGGAGGACTTTTTAGTGCGATAGTAATTATTCAAAATGGGGGTTGTATTAAAATAGCTATTACTTAGAAGAATATTATTTGTACCATAATAATAATTATTTAGAAGAGGGTATTTGTATTGAAATAATAATTGTTTAGAAGAGGATGTTTGTATTCAAATAGTAATTATTTATAAGAGTATATTTGTACTATAATAATAATTATTCAGAAGACAATATTTATATTGAAATAATAATTATTTAAATAAAGATTATTTGAACTACTATAAAAATTATTTAGAAGACGATGTTTGTATTCAAATAGTAATTATTTAGAAGAGAATATTTGTACTGTAATAATAACCCCAAGTTCCATATATCATTTTTCAATTCAGTGTTTCCACCAAATAATTTACAAAATGTAAATATAATACTAATACTTTGTTTAGAGTTTTCTTCAATTATGTTATTATAAGAGTTTTATGGTGTCGACTACAGGTGACCTTCATTAACAATAAGTTTAATATTATGGTATCTGGAACTTTCTAATATCTTAATATCTAACAAATTTATAACTATACAATAACGTGATAATGGTATTTAGAATGTCTTTTAATATGCTCTCATCAGTTGCTTTATTTCGAACATTAAGTTTATGGTGTTAATCACCGATATTAAGGTTATGGAGTTAATTATCCTTATGATATTTTGAATTACTACAAATTTTTCCTACGAATATTTAATAAATAACAAAAAATTAAAGTAAAGGACTTGAAACATGATTAGTGTCTAAAATTTATTTATGAAAATACTTTCAATTATTATAACAAAAAGAATTAAAGAAGAAAAGACAAGATATGAAATGAATGCATTGAAATTTTTCAGAAGACATGGAGGCCATAACTTGCAAAGAAAACAAAATGCGTGATATAATTTGCAGTGGATTACAAGAACAAATGGCGGTAATTAAACAAATTAATTTTAACTACATTATTATGAAAATTAAGGCTTACTCAAATATATTATTATACAATACAATATCACATTATGTTGAATTGTATAATAAATATTATCATATAATATATTTATATATTTTATATAAATATAACAATAATATTATAATACATTATATTATACGTATATTTATTTACTTAAAGTATTATTAACTTAAATATATTATATAGTTAATTACCATAAATAATGTTATAGTTACTATATACGTACTTAAATATTGTTATAGTATCTTTTTGCTGGTTTAAATATTTTATAGTCAATATGTGTTCACTTAAATATCATTATAGTCACTGTGTATTTACTTAAATATTACTATAGTAATTATATACTGACTTAAATATTACTATAGTCATTATGTATTTACTTAAATATCATTACAGTCACTATATACTGACTTAAATATTACTATAGTAACTATACATTGACTTAAGTATTATTATATTAACTATATACCGTTTTTAATATGTTTGGAATAATTATATATTGACCTAAATATTATTATAGTCATTGTATATTCACTTAAATATCATTATAGTCAATCTGTACTTACTTATATATTATTGTAATAACTAAATACTGGCTTAAATATTATTATAGTCACTACGTATTGTATTTAAATATCATTATAGTCACAGCGCACTTACTTAAACATTATTATAGTAAGTATACATATATGAACTTAAATATTGTTATAGTAACTATATACTGACTTAGATATTATTATAGTCACTGTGTATTTACTTAAATATCATTACAGTCACTGTGTACTTACTCAAATATCATTGTAGTCACAATATGTACATTTACTTCAACACCATTGTAGCTACTACACACGTAAACATCATTTTAATCATAACATACTTACTTAAACATCATAATCACTAATCACAGTAATCCTCCTTTAAGAATACTTATATAACATCAACAATCACGTTTGAAACATAGTAAGCACAATTTATTTTTAAAAACTTAAATGTTCACAAACGTCCAGAACTTTGATCGACCATCCATCAAATCGATCGATTATTTTCTTGTTATTAAACCAAACAAGAAATACAAATATCACTGTGCTGCTGTTTTAGGAAATCAGGCAAGACGTTTTGGAGCTGGTGAATAATCGAATGAACGTGATGGTGTCGGAAATATTGCAGATCGTGAACAAAATGGCGCTAACCGAGTCTAGAGACCTCGTTGATTCAGAGACGTACAACAACAGAACGTAATTACATAATCTTTCTAAACATTGATATTGCAGCCTTTCATTCTCATCTTGCTGCCCGTTCAAGTTATTATGTTCGGCTGCGTGATAATTTACAGCAGCTATCTTTTCATTGAAATTACGGTAATCTGTTAGAGCGTTGGATGAATTGATCGATTTAGATAATGTTGGTGGTTATTATTTCTTAGTTTCAATTCAACAGCTGTGTTTGGTCATATGAGTTGGTTAATTTATTTATTTTAGTTTAAGTAAAATTGTAAAATAAATATTATTATTTATTATAGTTATTACTTCTGGTAAAAAATTTGGTGATGGGGTAATATTTAGTCTTTTTTAGTAATTGCAGTAACATTATTCTTTGGAAAATTAATAATTTACTAATTTGGTTATTTGATAATTTGGAAATTTGTGAATTGGAGATTTTGAGATTTGAAGGTTTTAGTTGTTGAACATTTGGATATTTCGGAATTTTGAAAATTGTAAACTTATGGATTTTGAAATAGAAGAATTTGCAGATTTGGAAATTTAGGAATTTGGTAATTTAAGAAGTTGGTAATTCAGTAATTTGATAATTCGGTAATTTGGTAATCTAGTAATTTGGTAATTCGGTAATTTGGTAATTCGGTAATTTGGTAATTCGGTAATTTGGTAATTCGGTAATTTAGTAATTCGATAATTTAGTAATTCGGTAATTTGGTAATTTGGTAATTTAGTAATTTGGTAGTTTAGGAAGTTGGTAGTTTATGAAGTTGGTAGTTTAGGAAGTTGGTAGTTTAGGAAGTTGGTAGTTTAGGAAGTTGGTAATTTAGTAATTTGGTAATTTAGTAATTTGGTAATCTAGTAATTTGGTATTCTAGTAATTTGGTAATCTAGTAATTTGGTAATCTAGTAATTTGGTAATTCGGTAATTTGGTAATTCGGTAATTCGGTAATTCGCTAATTCGCTAATTTGGTAATTCGCTAATTTCATAATTCGCTAATTTGGTAATTCGCTAATTTAGTAATTCGGTAATTTAGTAATTTGGTAATCTAGTAATTCGGTAGTTCGGTAATTTGGTAATTTAGTAATTTCGTAATTTCGTAATTTCGTAATTTCGTAATTTCGTAATTTAGTAATTTAGTAATTTCAAACTTCACAAACCCAGAAACAGAATTATATAAATTTAAAAATATAGTACTATACAAAATTGTTTAAATTCATTCAATTTAACAGAATTACACCAGACTATCAAAAATAAAAACTGTTTCATACAACTAATAATAAATATAAAGACAATGCTTCCAATATAAATGTTTATCAATTTTTATCTGTTATATCGTTAAATAATAATTCAAGAATTACTATAACTTCGTATAAAAATTTGCATTCCAAGCGAAATGGTTTCAAATATTGCTCGAATACGCGTCATCCTTAACAGCTTTGACCAAATTCAACGAAATTACCTTTCAAGTTATATTTGTGTATACAAGGTGTGCCTATATTTTGTATGTGGTCGAAAAACATTTACTAGCGAAAATAATCTCAAACAATAGATTCGATAAAACTCTCGATTAAATTGTGAAGTTTCCTTTCCCTATCTCGAGTAGTGTGCATACACTGTGTGTACATAGATACGATAAAAGTACACAGGAAAATTCGTCCAACTTCAGTGCGCGTGTACTTAAATGTTCGTTGCTCCTTTCAGGATTAATATCAGTACGGATAAATTGGGAATTATTTCGATTCTTGTGCGAGGAATAGATAAATTCGAAATTTGTTAATTAGTTTTCTTTCAAATTTATAATAAAATTCAACTTCCAAATTTATAATAAAGTACAAAAAAAAATGATATAATTAATTTGGTATAAAAAGTTCAATATTTAGATGATAAAATTTTAATAGTTTTATACAGTTAAGTAGTTAAAATAATAAAATAGTTAAGTAGTTTAAATAGTTACAAATTTATATTGTTGACATTTTGAATTTATAAATTGTCACATTTTTAAAAAAAAGGTTTGATATTTTTTTGTTTATAAATTACTATCTTTATGAAGGTCTGAGTGTAAAAATTTGTAAATTACTAAATTTCTAAATTACTAAATCGTAAATTGTAAATTACTAAATTACTAGAATTCCCAATTCTTTAATTCTATCATTTCAAAATCCCAAATATTCAAATTTTTTATAAATTAAAAATAAAAATATTAAAAATCTGACTCCACTAAATCCCCAATTCCCAAATTACTAAATTACTAAGTTACTAAGTTACTAAGTTACTAAGTTACTAAGTTACTAAGTTACTAAGTTACTAAGTTACTAAGTTACTAAGTTACTAAGTTACTAAGTTACTAAGTTACTAAGTTACTAAGTTACTAAGTTACTAAGTTACTAAGTTACTAAGTTACTAAGTTACTAAGTTACTAAGTTACTAAGTTACTAAGTTACTAAGTTACTAAGTTACTAAGTTACTAAGTTACTAAGTTACTAAGTTACTAAGTTACTAAGTTACTAAGTTACTAAGTTACTAAGTTACTAAGTTACTAAGTTACTAAGTTACTAAGTTACTAAGTTACTAAGTTACTAAGTTACTAAGTTACTAAGTTACTAAGTTACTAAGTTACTAAGTTACTAAGTTACTAAGTTACTAAGTTACTAAGTTACTAAGTTACTAAGTTACTAAGTTACTAAGTTACTAAGTTACTAAGTTACTAAGTTACTAAGTTACTAAGTTACTAAGTTACTAAGTTACTAAGTTACTAAGTTACTAAGTTACTAAGTTACTAAGTTACTAAGTTACTAAGTTACTAAGTTACTAAGTTACTAAGTTACTAAGTTACTAAGTTACTAAGTTACTAAGTTACTAAGTTACTAAGTTACTAAGTTACTAAGTTACTAAGTTACTAAGTTACTAAGTTACTAAGTTACTAAGTTACTAAGTTACTAAGTTACTAAGTTACTAAGTTACTAAGTTACTAAGTTACTAAGTTACTAAGTTACTAAGTTACTAAGTTACTAAGTTACTAAGTTACTAAGTTACTAAGTTACTAAGTTACTAAGTTACTAAGTTACTAAGTTACTAAGTTACTAAGTTACTAAGTTACTAAGTTACTAAGTTACTAAGTTACTAAGTTACTAAATTACTAAATTACTAAATTACTAAATTACTAAATTACTAAATTATTAAATTACTAAATTACTAAATTACTAAATTACTGAATTACTGAATTATCAAAATCCTAATTTCCTAAATTCCTAAATACCTAAATTGCTAGATTCCTGAGTTCCCAAATCCCAAATTCCTAAGTTCCTAAATTCAAAAATCCCTAGATTCCTAAATTCCCAAAATCCAAAATTCCTAAATTTTTAAATAACCAATTTGCAAATCCACATCCACAAATCTGAAAACTTGCAAACTAAAATTTTCCATATTTGCAAATTCAAAGTTTGAATTATTGTACCACAATAAGTAAAAACAAAACCCCCTATATGTTTCACCTCAGTGTTCACCGCTACGTACTATGACCTAGCATATAACTAGCATATTCCACAAAATAAATGTAATAATGCATTGAAATTGTATGATTTATAATAATTCATCCTTACATGAATTAAACATGTATTACCATACGTCGCCCCTCTAACAAAGTAAAACCGTATACATATAATATTTATAATAATCTTATATTTCTAATCTGTATTTATTATAACATTTATACTAAGAATGGTTTTTTCTGAACAGGAAATCAACAAGACAAGATACTCTGCCCACAAAACAATTCCTCCAGAGGAATTCTTTGTTGACTGACCTTTACGAAATCAAACATATCCGAACGATCTACAACGTCATCTTATCAACTTTGATAGTTCTGTTGATACACACTGCCGTCTACGATATTAGAAACACCGGCTCGTAAGTACACGTGCACCGAGTTTGTACCCATTCTAGTTTTTTCCTAACCACTCTCAATTTCTTCGACGGATTTACAACGGACACTCTTACTAACGTGTCGTTAAGATATTACAAGTAATGTAAACATTTCGGTCGATGATTATGAAGTCACGTACTCCTATTTCCGAGATAGTTGAACTTGTTTTGCTGCATGTTAAAAAATATTTTTTTCAGATTTGGTCGAATATTTTTCTTGGATGGATCACGTAATTAATCGTATAATGTCAATTAATATTTTATGTTACAATATAAAATTTACATATGGTATATTTTTTTATTGGAATATTTGTAATATGAATAGTTTATTTGAATTCGAAAGAGTTTCTTAAATTATGATAATTGTAATGGTTATAGTAGTTAGGATAGTCGTGATAGTTATGATAGTGATAATGGTTATGATAGTTATATACTACTGAGATTTAGAACAGTCACAATAACTATGATAGTTACAATAGTTGTGATAGTGATAATGGTTTTGATATTTATAATAGTCATGATAGTTACATGCTTCTGAGATTTAGACTAGTTATAATAACTGTGATAGTTACAATAGTTATGATAGTTATATACTTCTGAGATTTAAAACAGTTGCAATAGTCATGATAGTCATAATGGTCATGATATTTATAAAAGTCATAATAGTTATGTGTATGCTTCTGAGATTTAAAATAGTTACAATAGCTATGATAGTTACAATAGTTATGATAGTTATATGCTAGTGAAATTTAGAACCGTTACAATAACTATGATAGATACAATAGTTATGATACTGATAATGGTTGTGAAGTTATAATAGTTATGATAGGCACAGCAGATATGATAGTTATTGTGTAGGTATAGTAGATATGAAAATGACAGTAATAACAGTTACAATAGTTAAGATAATTATGGTAGTAACCAGGACTATAATAGTCATCATGTTTGAGATAATTATAATGGTTACCAGGGCTGTAATAGTCATCATGGTTGTGATAACTATGACAGTCGCTGTGGTTATGATAATTATGATATTTATGGCAGATCCTGTGAATGGACCTTATGATGATTATAATAATTATGATAGTTATTAGTGTTATCATATATGTAATAGTATATGATAATATACAATGATACTTATCATAGTCATGGTAGTTGTGCGCATTACCAGGACTATAATAGTTACAATAGTTGTGATAGTCATAATAGTTGTGATAATCGTTAGATATGATAGTTATCATAGTTGTAATAGTCATAATAGTTGTGACAGTTATAATATTTGTAACAGTTATAATAGTTATAATAGTTGCAATATGTAGTTTTAACAGTTAATAGTTCTACTAGTTATAAAAATTATAGTAATTCTAATAGTCATACTCGACGTCATTATAATAGTTATCATAATAAATAATGTATAAATATTTTTCATATTTCAAACAATCTAAAGCATCTTCAAAACCATAGTAAATAATTTTAATTTATTCGAAGTTAACAACATTCTTTTTATTCTTATAAGAATTTGAAATAATTTCTCTGTGATTTCCAAATATAGTACATTTACTGTTCCAGAACAAATAACTTCATATCTAATTACTACTGTCAAGCATAACAGTTTCAAAGTATCAAGTTAAACTCAAGAATTCAGATTTTCGTCCCTTACAAATATATGTAAATAATTCTTGCAATATCATGCTTTTAATACACTTCGGTGTTCAATATTAGCTACCGAGTTAAGAAAATGAAATTTATGTTCCAAACGACTGCCTCGATCTTTGAAACTTTGTTCAACTGTAGTAGTCACAAAAGGGGGAACAATTTTAACTCTTAAGGAGAAGTTATTAATACTGTAAAATAAAGCTGCTTCTCGCAGTAAATTTTCGTTATATTGCCATGAAAAATAGTGTAAAATAGTGTAATATTAAGAAAAAATACAATTTTAATAATTATACGAATATGGGGGCTATAATAGGCCTTCGGCTATCTTCGTAAGTCTTCGTGAATTTTCGAGAATCTTCGTGAATCTTCACCAATGACAACAAAACTTTACTAACTCATTTAATTGTTTTTCATTTATTTATAAAATAAATGATGAAAATATACATTTATAAAATGAAAGAATCGCTTATAAATTAATTAATAAATAAATTACATGAAAATTTAATACGTAATAAATTTTAATAAACACCAAAAATAAATTATTCATATATAAAATACGATAAAACATGTACTCATAAAATAAATTACTTAGCAACTTTTTATAAATTTATAAAAACTTGCAAAATATAATTTTACACAAGTTTTGTTTACTAAATATTTTGCAAGTTTAATTTTAACCTTAAAATCAATTTTGTACAAATTTCCATTATTAAATGTTTTACAGGTTGAATTTTACTGTTAAAATTTTTTACAAGCTTTCAGTAAAACATAAAATAATTATTTTGTTATACTACAAAGTATAAATATATAAATTTAAATATTTAAATACTACAATTTATAAATAAGAAATTAAATATTTCAACGACTCTCATTTATTTACGATCAAATAAATGCAACTTATTTATTAAAAATTAAATTACCACAAAATATTGAATCCTGCAAGAAAGCATTTAAGATTATATTTCAAACGGTTGTTCCCTGTTTACGTTCCAAAAGAAGACTTTCAGATCCACTCGCAACTCCGCATTTTTACCAATTGATATACTTTGTGTTACAAATAATTTATAATTTACTTAAAAATTATTATAATAATGTAATTTATTATTTTAGACCTAACTTCGCCATAAACACAGTGAAAGCTGGATTCGCCAAAATCTCCGTAGTGCTTTGTGTTTGGCTGCTCATGAAAAGCGCAGCTTTAGCAAATTACGTAGCTTTTTGTTACTGGGCCACCAATCGTCTGGAACTTTTACCGAAATGTAAGTTTAATTTGTAAATCTTAAAGCATAATAATGATTTTTTAATTATGTTAACATGGAAAATTGTTTACAGCTTTTGCCAGGAAAGTTTGGGATTACTCTTGGTTGGTGGTATTGATACTTTATCAACTATTGTATATTGTTCTTCCTGCGAAAGCTGTGGTCGATCATGACCTGCCGATTGCTTCCAGCATGATCGTACTTATGGAACAGGTATATTAAAAATAATTAACCATCTTTTGTTCATGTATTTGTAAATTTTTTAATTTGGTAGATTGTAAAAGTTTACGTTTGGAAATTTAAAAATTTGATAATTTAAAAATTAGTAGATTTGTAAGTTTGATAATTTGTAAAGTTAACTGTAAATTTACAAGCTGAAAAATTCATAATATTGTAAGTTGACAATTTTTTTATTTGGAATTTTAAAAATTTCTAAATTTAGTAGTTCAACAAATTTTTAAATTTGAAAATTTTCGAATAGAGCTTTCATTTTGAAAACTGGCAAATTTTTAATTTAAAGAATTCCGATATGTAAGCGTTTGAAAGTACTAAAATTCATATTTGAAAAACGTCTATTATAAGTTCAAAAAAGAGTTCAAATTGATAAAAACTCAAATATCATTTTTCACGTTATTTAGCTCCGTTTAATAATGAAGACTCATGCGTTCATAAGAAGCGTGGCACCAAGATTTTTGTCGTATAAACCACACTCGGAAGCACCGGTACCTAAACCGCCCGACTTTTCAAAATACCTTTACTTCATGTTTGCACCTACTTTAATTTACCAAGACAGCTATCCCAGGTAACTATAACGGTTGATATTTTACGAAAATTTGTTTATTGAAATTTAATTAATAAATAGTAGCAATCTACTAAAAACTTGAATTAATAACTTATAAATTAATTTAATTAATAAATCACAGCAAGCTATACAAAAATTAGCAAATAATAGTAAGTTACAGAAACTTAATTAATGAATGATAATAAGCTAGATGAAGATTTAATTAACATATAATAGCAAATTACAATGATTTAATTAATGAATAATGGTAAACTATAAAAACTTAATTAATAAATGGTAACAATCTATAAAGATTTAATTAGTAATTAATAGTAAACTATAAAGATTCAATTAATAAATCATAGTGAGCTCTAAAAATTTAATTAACAAATAATGGTAAGTTAAAAGGACTTAATTAATGAATGGTGGTAAAGTACAAAGATTAAATTAACAAATAATAGCAAATTACATAATTAAATTATGTAATAAATTAAAGCAAATTAAATAATTAATAAATTATAGTGAGCTATAAAGACTTAATTCATAAACACTAGCAAGCTATAAAGATTTGCTTAATAAGTAATAGTAAACTTTAAATTAAAATTTCAATAATAATTAATGAAGAAATACAAAAATTATTCTCTTAATAACATAAAACAATAAAAAAATGAAGTATATCATAACAATATATTTTTCATACCAGTACACGATTACCAATGGTTCCTAAAAAATACAATTACTTATCCAATTTTTGTAAGTAACAATAACAAATTTTTATAGTATCATTACACATATAAATACAATTATACAATAACTGAATATTTTGCTAATAATAATTTAATTTTACGATAAAATGCGTACAATTTATATAACAATATTTTTTGCACAAAATTTCCGTTTACAAGAAAGAAAAGATATTACGACAATCGGAATGTCGGTTATCAGTTATCAACTGCGTTATAAATATTAATCGTTATTGATAATACAACATATAGATTAATATTAAACGTGCTTGTACGGTATCAAGAAATTAGACGAGATAAATGTAACGTAGTTATATCAAGTATGCTCGATTAAAATGTAATGAAATGTTTTGATACGGTTATTATTAAAAGAAGTCCTTCAAATCGATAACTCAGATGGTAGATAATCAGTGGCGTCATTGCTTGTGTCAGGGAAAAATAATTAATAATAAAAATAAGTTAAAAATAACCGTTGTTATAAGATTTGATGGATGAATGATTTACTTGCGAATTTATTATAGGGAAATTTTCATGTTTATGAATTTAGAATACGATTGATTGTTGTTTGTAAAAATATAATTTTTTAAGAGTATTTTAAATAAATTTTTATATGCGTATCACACGAAAAAAATAATCAATGATATCAAAAATTAGTATCAAAAGTTAATTAATAACATCAAAAGTTAATATCAAAAGTTAATCAATAATATCAAAAATTAATGTCAAAAGTTAATCACTAATATCAAAAGTTAATCAATGATATCAAAAATTAATAATATCAGAAGTTAGACAATAATATCAAAAATAAATAATATCAGAAGTTAGTCAATAATATCAAAAATTAATAATATGAAAAGTATCAATTATATACAGAAAATAAAATAAAAATTTGCTATATCGCATTTTTTAGGTCTAAAAGAATTCGATGGAACGTGGTGCTCGCCAACTTTGCCGAAGTGGTAACAATCGTTTTCTTCGTGGGATTCATATACGAGCGTTTGCTGTACCCGATTTACCGAGATTTCGGAAAGGAACCAATAGAGCTAGGAATGTTAATTCTGAACATCCTCAGCTCAATGTTGCCTGGTATTCTTATGTTCGTTTGCGGATTTTATTGTCTTCTGCATTGCTGGATGAACGCTTTTGCCGAACTACTGCGATTTGCGGACAAGATGTTCTACAAAGTGAGTTTGCATCTATTTATAAAATTAAATTGGTGGTAGAATGTGTATGGGGTATACATTGTTTACATTAATGCATTAATAGTGTGCATTTGTATACAGTACAATACACTATTACAGTACAATAGTATTGCATTAGTATATAGTACAGTACACTATTACAGCACAATAGTACAGTATAGTACAATACACTGTTAAAGCAAAATAGTATAGTATAGTACAATACACTATTACAGTACAATAGTACAGTATAGTACAATACACTATTACAGTACAATAGTACAGTATAGTACAATACACTATTACAGCACAATAGTACAGCATAGTACAATACACTATTACAGCACAATAGTACAATACAGTACAATACACTATTACAGCAAAATAGTACAGTATAGTACAATACACTGTTACATCACAATAGTACAGTATAGTACAATACACTGTTATAGCACAATAATACACTATAGTACAATACACTATTACAGTACAATAGTAACGCATTGTTACACTACATTTCTTTACTACAATTACAAAGAATGATTATACATTGTTATAACACATTAATGCAGTACATTAGTACTAGACTGTTACAATAAATTATTTCAGTATGTATGATTACACTGAATTATTATATGTAGATTGTTATAATACATTAATACAGTATATTATGACATCAATATATTATTATAATACACTACTACTATACATAATTACAGTACATAACTAAAATGCACTATTAGAATACAGTAATATAATATATTAGTGCAATACATTATTACTGCGCATTAATACAATATATTATTACAATTCATTACTATAATACATTACTACAATATATTACCACTATACATAATTACAGTACATAACTACAATACACTATTAGAATACATTCATATAAAATATTAGTACAGTACATCATTATAACACATTACTAGAATACATTAGTACAAATGCATCATTACAATAGGTTAATACAATACATTAGTACAATATATTATTTCACTACATATATTAGTGCAGTATATTATTACAATGCATTAATGCAATACATTACTACAAATACATTATTACAATACATTATTCTGATATGTTAATACTATAAATTAGTGTAAGACATTGATACAATAAGACACTATAAAAAAGTATGATCAATATTTCCTATAGTTTAAAATTTCTTCATTTTTAAATTTCAATTTTGTGACAAGGCCAATTTTGGTAATTTCCCTCCAATTTTGATGTATCATCAACGTGCAAAAGGACACGTAAATGGTCCTTGAATCATAATACACTCGCTCAGTGGAATGCAAGAAAGTTACGTTAATGGAGTCTGGAAGAAATGATGATGAAATATTGTGGAAACGATTCTGTGTAACAGTATCGATGACTCAATCTTTTCGAGTCACTTCCGTTACTCAATTCTATGAGTGTTTCTTAGATCCGTGTGGTTTTGTAACTATTTTAAAGATCTTTCATTCGCGTGCTTTGGTAATAGGTTGAATTTGCACGTCACGAAAGTCACGCATTGGCGTAACTACGATTTTTTTAAATAGGATTTTTGTTTCTTGGGTTTATTCATTTGTCCTCTCCAAATCCCTAGATTCCAATAACCGAAAATTCCCAAATTTTCACGTTCACAAATTTCTCAGCTTCAATTTCCTATGTCTCAAAATCCCAAAATTCCCAAATTTCTCATCTGTAAATCCCTATTTCTCAAAATCCCGATATTCCCAAATTTCTTATCTCCAAATCCCTAGACCCCAAAATCCCAATATTCCCAAATACCTAGGTCCCTAAATTTCCACACTCACAAATTTCTCAGCTTCAATCCCTATATCTCAAAATCCCAAAATTCCCAAATTTCTTATCTCCAAATCCCTAAACCCCAAAATCTCAATATTCCCAAATACCTATGCCCCCAAATTGCCACATTCACAAATTCCAATGTTCCCAAATTTCTAAATCCAAAAATTCCCAAATACCTGTACCCCCAAACTTCCACATCCACAAGTTCCCACATGCTCAAATTTCCATATCCACAAATTTCTATATCCCCACGTCTACAAATTCCTACTTCTCCAAATTTCTAGCTGAACAAATTCCTAAACTCTAGCCTCCCATATCCTAAAGTCCCCAAATTCTTAACCCCCCTCCAATGATTGTTATTAACCTCCATTTATTATTTCTCATCATCATTCATCTATCATCATTAACCTTTATTTCTCACTATTTATCTCCATCTATTTGTATCTATCTTTACTGATCATTATTAACCTTCATTTATTACTATTTATATCCATCTATTTATATCTAGCTTTACCTATCATTATTTACCTTCATTTACTATTTATCCCAACTAACTCTTATTTATCTTTACTCATCATTATAATAATTTTCCATAGGATTGGTGGACGTCAATCAGTTACAGCTAGTACCGCTATTTGTATCTATCTTTATTTATCATAATTTACCTTTATTTACTACTATTTATCCTACTTAATTTTTATTTTTTTTCACTTATCATTATAATAATTTCGTACAGGATTGGTGGACGTCGATCAGCTACAGCACCTACTACCGCACCTGGAACATCGTGGTCCACGACTGGCTGTACACCTACATCTACAAGGACATGTACGAGATCATAACACCGGGAAACCGGAAGTTGGCAGTTTGCACGGTGTTCGCCATCTCCGCGATCTTCCACGAGTACATCCTCTGCCTCTCCGTGCGGTTCTTTTACCCTATAATGTTGGTACTCTTCGGCGTTGTCGGATTTACAGTGGTGTTCGTGCTAAAAAGAGCCGGAAACGTGTTCCTCTGGTTCAGTTTGAGCTGCGGCAGCGGAACGTTGGTCAGCTTGTACTGCATTGAGTACTTCGCCAGAATCAATTGCCCACCTTACCGGGAAGATTTCATGGATTATGTGATACCTAGAACCTTGACGTGTATCTTTCATCGGGAAGTGGTTTAAGGAAAGCCGCTTCCGGCAGTTTTTGAGAAACGCTGGAGTATTTGAATTCTTATTGAGATGATTAGAACTGCATGCTTAATTTGAAATTAAGATGGAAAATAAAGGAACTTGATAGAAGGCAGATTTCAAAGAACCTTAACAAGAGTTAAGGTTCTTGTTAAGGCTAGCGGCCATTTTGATCGCTTCAGTGCAGATTTTTAAGTTCTTATACAAGTACTTTTGTTGAGGCTATTGAAATAAAATTGCATTAAGTTAACGTTTAGTTTTTGTATAGAAAATCTTGGTTGATGGAAGATTTATGGCAGAAAAAAATTAATTGATATTATATTTGTTTCTGTAATTGGAAATTTGTTTAATAGTGATGTACATTTTTTTGGGTAGGAACAAATCTTTTTTATTTTTGATCATGTAAAATTTTTTAATTCTTCATTTTTTAGTTGAAGAATTGAAAATTTAAAATGAAGAATAATTTTACTTCCAAAAATACAGATATTAATAAAACTTGAAAGCAAATTAAACAAATGTTTGAAATACTATAAAAAATAATTATAGAGAATTTAAGAATAAAATTCTGTAATAATTTTAAAAGTAACAAATAAAGGATACTCATTTATGTGGTACAGTTTATAATATTTTATAATAAAGAAATAATTGAAACAGTAAAGTAAACAATTATGTTTCCTCGCTTTTTATTTTCTTTGTCTCGTTCTTTTTCTTCGTTCCAGAAATTTACAATTAAATCAAAGATTTTGAAAAAAGACATTGTCTTTGTTATCAAGGCTTAGATTACGTGTCACGAGAATCCGCAGACACTCGACGTCCATAAAGATAATTATTTATATATATATTTATTTTTTTTATAATCGTATGTATATATCTTCTTTCTCTATACAAGTCGATGCTTAAATGTACATACACGCGCTAATACGATTACATTTATACAGAATTTTCGTTCATAGATTTGTAACTCTCATAGAGAAATAAATTCCATGGGTTGCATAAAATTTCACGCTAAGATACCTTTGCCTCTCTTTACAATTCTAACCTTTTTCTAGTTTTTTTTTTTAGTAGGAAATTGATTTGGGTAAATTAAAATACGTTAATTGTGCCAGAGAAGTTATAATAGCAAAGTCTTGATATAAGCGAAAATAATTTACATGATATAAGCGAATAAATTATTGGTACCACGAGTATTACAGTACATCTGTGAAACAATGCCAATGCAAGTATAAAACTTTCTTATCTTTTATTTTTGTGTTATCAAACTTTTATCGATAGATTTTTCACATTTTTCTGATTAAAATGATACCAAACGTGATATAATTAAATCGTTTTGACAGACAATAGCGAAACAACGCTGCGATTGTGTTGGACTGCAAAGATCAAACCTGTTGCATTCTTTACAATACTAATATGTTGCTAACTATTTTATTTTCACTCCTTTTTTCATACAACCTTCTTCATCATATTTGTTTCATTTTTCTGATTGAAATGAGACCAAACACGACGCTATTCGGGACATATTTACTTATAATAACTTATTTAAACATTTCAGCAGTAATCTACGATTTCGACTGTCAGACGTATCACGTGATCCGAATAGAACCGAAGCGTAACGAAGTTACCCGACGTGTCACTCGTCCGTTTACCGCGAATCTTACTACGATAAAACTTCAATATAAACGCTTGAAATTACAAATAAATACGTTTCAAATTACGTCGTGTCTGGTCTCATTTTAATCAGGAAAATTGCACGAATATATTGGTAATAGTTTCATAAGAAAAGAATGAAAAATAACAAGTTTTATTCTTGCATTAAAATTGTCCTACTGATGTTACTGTTTGTTTACCTTCGGTTCGGACATTTTCTTCGCTCGCTTTTCTACACTTGGCTAACTTCGATCAATGTAGGAACTACATGATATAAGGAAACGTACACACTCGAGAGATTCGCTCATATCGAGACTTTGTAGTAAATGGGAAATATTTATAGCAGACCTTCTGAGAGGATTAAACGACCTTCGCTATATTGATTTGGTACGAACTTTACACAATTAGGGAACAGACTACAGATACTGATATTGTAAACTTAGGGTACATAATTTTGTGAGAGCAAAATGAGGTAAATTCCGACACAAAAATATGGAAGAGGAAAGTTTGAAATTTTTAAGACTTGTAATTTGATAATTTATTAATTAGAAAATTTAGAAAATTGAAAATTTCAAATTTTATAACTTTATAATTTATTAGTTTGTGTATTTGTTAATTTTGTGATTTAAGAATATAACAATTTTGTTATAAACATAAAACTTCAAAATTAAAAATTTGAAAATTTTTTTTCATTTAAAATTTAATTTCATGAAAATACCCACCACACTTTTATAATACAAAATTTCGTCCAAACCAATGCTACAAAGATCGTTTTACATAAAATTTCACAAAATGTCTACGTTTTATAAAACAAAACGAAATTGTCTGTGTAAACACATTCATCACATTTCCCGAAAGAACTCTAACTACAAATGATTAATACATAAAAAACATGTTAATAAGCTGTTATTTTCAATCACATTTCGCATGATCTGGCAGATTTCAGTAAACTCGCTGAGAAACGTATTTGTACATTCTGAAATAAATAAACTAAAAAATACAATGTTAATCGCTCTCTCATATTTTCCCTCGGATTTTTCATTCATCGCCATCGAACTCCGATATTCAGCGCTATCTCTTCTACCACGATTTACAAAGTGTAAATTTATTATTTTATTTCTATGTACAGTGAACGTGAGTATTGAAAAAATAAATCATATTCTTCGTCGGGGAGCACAAGACAATTCTCCCTACGGACGAAACTTCGCTTTTTGTCCTTCGGAGTATTGTCTGCGATACTCTCGCTTGAAAATACAATTTTCATCAATTTACACGTGGAAAGTAATGGGTAAATATGTCGAATAGGGGACCACGTTATTGACCTTGATAAATATTATGAACACCCTCCTTAACTTTTTCTTGTAACTGTTGATTAAAAAGTTATTAACAAAAAACAGATTGCGTCGCCATTTTCTTTATAAATCGCACGAAGTATACTTCATTTAGGTTAGAATATTTTAGAGAAAAATTAAAATGGAGATGAAGTTAGGTTTGGTTATGTAATTAGTATATTTTACTGAAACTGACATAACCTCATTTCTATTTTGTAATCATTATTATATATTATACAACTAACTTAAATTAGTTATATATTATATAAGTAATTAGTTATGTAACTAATACAAATTAGTATACTTCAATATTGAAATAAAGAGTAACATAACCTAACTTCATTTCCATCCAATCATAATTATGGAAAATGTCAAGGTAAGATTAGGTTAGATTAGTTATATATTACATGGCTGATTATTTATGTGTTACTAGTTATATAACTAATCTAAATTAATAATTATGTTAGTCAGTGTATTCCAGTATTGAAATAAGCACTAACATAACCCAACTTCACTTCTATTTCACAATCACAGGAAATAAAAATGAGTTTAAAAGTTAGGTTAAGAAGTTTCTAGAAACATAATATAACCCCACTTCATGCAAAGATTAGGTTAGGTAAACTTGCAATATAACAAATTCTACGTATACAAATGAAAACTTTTCATCTAATGAGCTTAATAATCTAATTATATTGAAAGATGTATCTAAACCTTCATCAAAATTTTAGTCTTTATTTTATAAATAATTCTTGAGAATTATTGATAATAAATGACCCTGTAACAAACAATTCACAATTAGAGAAAGTTACTGTAGAAACTGGTATAATAAATATCAAGGTCAAGCTCACTGATCCCTTATTTCACAGATCTACCTAATGATACTTAATCATTATGGTAATTCATTTAATATTCCGTCTGTAACATTCATCAATCGGCAACAGACATATAACTCGCTTTATTCTACTCTCGTGCCTGTCTCCTTTCGTCTCTGATTTAAACATCGAACAAACACTCCACTTGTTCGATTCTTAAACCAATTTTCACCTAATTTGTACAAAGATAGCTTATCCATTTTCGTAAGAACAGAATTTCGATCCTTCTGAAATACAATTGTTATAAATATAAACTCGAGTTAACAAATTTAATGTAAAACACATTTTAATGTCGATGACGCACCTGGTGCGTCAGCATGTCGGATGCAACACGTTCGGAACAAAACACATACAAAGACAGTTTTGACGACTTGAAAAATAGAAATACACAGAAATGGAAGGTCTGGAATGATAAAGAGGTAATAGGTTAGGTCAGGGCCGTATGAAGATGTATTTTATGAACTTGAAAATATTCTTCACATCGTTTTATCGCGATTGAACTGCACCTGCTACCACGGGATCGAATGTGTTGAAATATGGAACAAAGCACCGGGTGCTGCAACGAAGAGAAATTTATGTTATCTGTCGATATTCGAATGGCTTTCAGGAAAATAATATCATGGCAAAATAAAAATAAAAATAGGTGGCTGAGATTAAAGTTGATATTACCTTCATGTTAAAGTTGAGATATTCAAGCTTTATATTAACAGTGATACAGTGAGTATTCTATGTTAATAGATAATAAATAGTAAAATAAAAAAATGGTGGATTTAATAGATTGTTTTTGAACAGTGAAGAATATGCAAATTTGTGATAGAAATGCGATAAACTCTTCAAATTTTTGTAGTTTCATAATAATTGTGTGATTTTTAAATAGATAGACAATTTTTTCTTATGTTTATACTGCTATACTTATGTATTTTATGTTGAATACTTGAATATTATCAGATATTATTCTGGTGTGATATATGTAATGCATCTGGTGCATCGTTATTTGATTGAAATCTGTAATCTGACTGTCCATAAAATTTTTTAAATTTCAAGTGAATGTTACTGTAATAGGAAAATAGACAAATTTTGTAAATTTAGTATTATATTTTGGGGATTTGGTTATTTAAGTATTTAAGGATTTAGGAATTTAAGAATTTAAGAATTTAAGAATTTAGGAATATAGGAATTAGGAAATTTAGAAGCTTGTGAATGTAAAAATTTGGAAATTTTTTCTTAAAAATTTTGTGAATTATGTAAATTAATAAACTTAGAATATCAAAAACTTTGTAAATTAGTAAACTTAAATTTTAGGAATAATAAGTTAACTTAGTTTTGGGAATATAAAGCCTTAAATACAGGTATAAGAAAAAAATAAATTACTGAGTTTGACATTTAAAACTTTAAGAATTAAATAATTTGAAAACTTGCACCATTAAAAAATTTACAAATATAAAAATTCCAAATTTTCCAATTTTTTAATTTTTATATTAAAAAACAAACTGCCATGGGTCATCCTACCATCACTGCCATCCACAAATGCACACCACAATCAGTTTCCCATAACTGATTGAACCACTCTCTCCTTCACAGAGTAATCAACACCCTCGTGATATAAAAGAAAGATAAAAGAAAGCATTAAATCACGGATCGAAGTTCCATCTTAGAAAATCTTCGTTTTATCCCTACTTGGCACTTGGTACCTACTACCTCTTCCCGCCATTTCCTTCGACAGAATTTTTCTTACTGCGATTAAAACTCTGAAGGAACGATCGATTCAAATAAAATTTGAGCCACATCACGATAAAATTTCCATAAGCTCAGTACCTTTCGTTGCGACTTATCCTTCGATCGTTCCATAATTTCTCGACCGAAACTGAACGTTGAAACTTTGAATTCCATCTTTAAATTGCAGGGCCGACCACAAAAGGCGACAAAGGGACCCCAAGAAAAGCAGACAATCACATATTCAATTATTTCATGAATATTTGTTCAATCTTATGATTTTAAAAAAGATGCGATGCTTTGTTATTATGAATTAATATAAAAATTTGAAGCCCTAAAAATATTTCTTACATTAGGGCCCATTTATGGGGACGTCGGCCCTGTCGTGTTTGTGACATCATAACCTCACTCGGTGATCCGTCATGATTGACTTTTACGCTTGATCCTTCGGCTCGCAACGAATTCACACGGGTTTAGAATTGATTTGATTAATTATGCGAGATACCGGGTTAGATCTAAAAATGTGGAAACAAACAAGCACCGACTTTCTTCGTTGTATAGCGGCGAAGAATTTGGTTACGAGGAAGGACGACTGGAGCGAGTACAAGAACAGGAAGTTAAGAATAAAGGACTCGATTAATACTCTTCCTCGAATTAAACTATCCGTATATACGATATTTCTGAATTAGTGTATTTCATGGGATTTTGAGAATCGTTGATTGCAGATAGGTATTTTGAAAATATTGTGATGTTAAGGTAAACTATACTAAAGTGGACTTAGTAAGTAAGGATCTTATGTTAGATGCTATTACTGTTTTGTACGTGCACTTATTTTGTAGGTTAATGAGGTTCATGGAGAAATGTCACTGAGGATAAAAATTTTTTAAATATCTTTTACTTTTTTTGTTACTTTAACTTTGATGATGGTTTTTAATTTCTTGAATTAAAACTTTTATGCTTTAAAAATTTTGGAACTACCAATTTTCAAACTTATAAATTTGCAAATTTGAAAATTTCTTAACCTGTATATTTGTAATTATTTAAACTTTATAATTTGTGAAGTTGTACATTTAAAAATTTAGCATTGTATGAACTTGTAAATTCATAAATTTACAAATTTACAAATTTATAACTCTATAAATCTGAAGGTATGAAAACATGAAATTTCCATATTTTTATTTTTACAAATTTCCAACTTCCGAAATTATAACAGGAAGTTAAATTTATTTTTAGCCAAATAATACTGGTTCATACAAGAACTACTGCCATACAAGAACTACTGCCATACTGTATGGAAACAATTTCTTTGTACAAATAGCCACAATTTTATCATCAGTTTTTGAGCACACCATGTCACTGTATTCTTGTTGAAAAATAGCTGAGGAAACTCCAATTTCATTTCACAATTTTCTAAAACTGATATGCTGTCAAAAACCAATTTTTTCAAGGTAAAAGTAATTTGTTTTTTTTTCAATAACCTGTTAATTTTTCAAATTAGTATAATTTATATAATGTAACACAAACTATATAAATATTGCTAATTTAATTGCGATAATTCTTGCAAATATAATACACAGCATTTAACCATCTGAAATGTAATATTTCTTTCTAAATGTTAGGTTATGTTTTTTTTTAATTAAATATGACGTATTTGCCGCAGTTTGTTAGGGATTTTATACGTTCTTTGTGAAATTGCGTTTTAAATTCCAATTAATTATTCTTTAGCAATGATTAATCATTTTTTAATGACATGTATTTAATTAAAATAATTGATTTATTTTATTCTTCAATCTCTACAAATTCATTTATCTTTAACATAAAGTACAGATTCACTAAATTGTACATACAAGTCAAGTTTCGAGGAGACACTGTACATCTGAAAATTCAAAATGGCGCTTTAGATTAAAGTGCCACTTCTTGTATAGTTTACCCTATTTTATAAATAACCTTCAAAATTATTGATTCAAAAAAGGACAATAATAAAAACTGGACATCTTCTGACCTTTCTAGCAATAAAAATTTTTTGTGGTATATGTTTCTTCAAGTTTTGAGGAAACCGAAATGCATTATTTATGATTATTTATCTTGAAAACGATGGGAAAGTTATAAAAACTTTCGTGAACTTCGAAAGAATGTTGCCATTAGCTGAACTGAATCGTCACTGTATTTTTAAAACGATGACGATCAGTAGAATAATTATAAGAATACATTTATTGTGATTTTATTTTATATTTGAAATTAGATTGATTTTGGATAATAAGTTTATACTACTTGTATCTACAAAGAAAACCATAAAATTGTTGTTGAATGAAAGCAAGAATCAATAATCAATTTACTATCATATTTATAATATTTGTTTGAATGAAATATTTATAAAAAATTATTAATTATATATGAAGACACATATTATGTAAAAAATGTTATTGCACAAAAGTGAAAATAAACTGTATATTTATATTAAACCGTTTACAATGAAAGAAATCTATATTTTAAAAAAAATTTAGTTTTGGGTTTTTTAGTCGTGGGAAATACAAAATTAAATTTTCAAATTCCTAAATCTTTAAACCTACACATTCCCAAATTCACAATCACTATGTATATTATTAATACAATATGCATTGCAGGTGTTTCAAAATTGTCTAAAAGCATTGAAAACCCAAAAATATCAACAACATAATACAGTGATCCTTCACAGTCTTCAAGAATGGAAAATGCAACGATAACTTGCAATACTAAGATTCTAGTTTTGTACATGCACAAGTGGCGCCCTCTAGAACGACATCAGCGTCAGGTCCGCCATTGTTGATCTTCTTCCCGCTTCAGACATTCTTTACACAAATAACAACCAATACAACTAACAATATGTGAAGTAAAAGAATATTACTGTTCAATATCATGGCAGTGTTTAATTGTATATAATCATGCATTTCTAACACTTCAAAATCAGTAGAAACATATCCCACAAAAACCTCTCGTTACCAAATCGAAAACTGGCAAATTTGTACCATCGTCTTTTACCATAAAAATATTCTCGAAAGATTGCTTCGGCTCAATCAACAATCTGTTCTATGTACACGAAATACGCTAATTAAGAGGTATCGTATGTATATAATAATATCCACTTCGCAGTGCCCTCATAAATATTGTCCAACATGGATTTCTATCGAAAATAACTCATATGTATTCGTCCTATATTTATTTTCTCATACGTCGCAATCATTTATCTCTCTCTATCGTACTCTTCCCACTTTAAAAATCTATAAACAATCAATTTTATTGCTAGCCTCGAGTCCCTCCTATCACGTACGAATTTTATTTATAATGAATCACTTTAATACACACATAGAAACGTTTAAATTGTCCCTGACTCTGCAGAGAGGATCTTTGAACAGATATCATTTTTTTCGCCCGACGTTTTGCTTCTCCTAGTTTTCTTTGTTTCTCTTTTCTCTTCTACCTACTACGAGCAGAATGGAACTTACTGAAAGTTCGCACACGGGGACTTAAACTACGTTAGTACTCGGCAGGACATTGTAGGAGAAGTGCAGAAGTCTTAACAATATACAGAGTGTCCATTAAATATTTGTTAATCGTTAAACCCTTAAGAAAACACAAATTAAATGCTAACACAATTTATAATAAAACGTCGCAAATGACTTTAATCATTTTTCTTGCAAATATGAAATGTGTATCCAATCTTTCTTTCTGTGTCTTTATGTTTTTTATACAGAATCGCTGACACAATTAAGAGACGCTTTAAAGATAACAATTTACAATTACTATTTTTTAACAAAAAGAAACGCAGCTTTAAAACTATGTATAACAGTCAGTAAAAGAAAATGTGATTAAAATCATTAAACTGCGACTTTCCAGCTCCACACAATTTCACCCCTTTCTAATTAAATTAACAAACAGGTAAAGAACAAAAAGGTGAAAACAAATTCACAAGATTTCCCAAGAATCTTTCAAATGCATGGACCGTCATTGCGGAGTGGTTTAGAAACCTCTGGCGGCAAAACTGAAAAGCTTTCAATCCTCGTTTAACCTGTGAGAAGACATCCACAAACTAGTTAATATTAAAACATTTTCTCATATTTTCCATTTCAAAATATTTTCTGTATAATACAGTTCTGAGATTTTGCAATTTGACTCTTAAAACTTTACAAAACATATTGTGTATGAAGTTTTATGACCCAAATTACAAATCAACATATACAAAGAACATTTAGAAAATGAAAGTGGGAAAAAATATCCAATTATTGGCACTTGAAGCTAATTCTTGTTTTATATTGCACTTAAAGTATGTATTACAGCTTCTGTAAAATTGAAGGTGTAAATTGTAAACTGCATCTCTTTAGATCTTTCAAATTATTTCCCACAAAATGTATAAAAATTTGCAAAAAAAGTTATAGTTATTATCTAAAACAAAGTATAATAACTAGTGTTATTAGAAACACTATCTGATATACATTTCAATTATTTTCATGTATTTGCTCTACATGCTTATTTTCGTATAAATAATAAGCACAAAGAAATACAATTTATAAGAAAAAGAATGCAAGTCTCAGTGCCAACCATGGACCCCTTACTCTATGAGAAAATATTTCTTCAAAATCTTTCATCAACTTCTCAGTTTCTCAGTTTCGCCGCAAGAGTTCTCCACAGTCCGCAGTAGTCTCGTCACTCCATTAGAGCATAAAGGCCGCATGCCCACTGAATCTACGACGGAGGAAGTTGATAAACTTCTTATACGAGTTAACCATTTTAGGACACTCTGTGCAAGAAGCCACAGATAAAATTAAATCTAAAGTTTCAGTAACCTTCATTTGCCCATTCCCACGAGTGCCTCGTCCATCAGCTCGTCGTCGGTGATGCAGGGTGAGGCGGAGTGGGGCGAGGGCGGGATAACCCTTGGCGAGGGTGCAGGACTCTTGACGATGTGCACACTGACGGAAGGACTGGCTGGGAAGGCAGGAGGAGGAGGTGGTGGCGTGTTCCTGCGCACCGAAGCCGCCTGGGTCATCGCCCTCTCGGGAATGCTCGTGAAGGTCAGGCTCTTGGCCACATCTTTCGGCGTGGAAAAATCCAGCAACATCTCAGCAGCCTCCTGAGACGTGGTCGTTGGTATCTCTGTACCGGTTGCTTTCATCGCGCCTGAGGAACCCTCTGAAGACACCACCGATAATGAAGCTGAACCCGAAGAGCCTCCGGAAGACGGGACTTGTTGCTGCTGCTGCGGCTGCGACTGCGACTGTGATGGTTGTTGCTGCATCTGCTGCTGCTGTTGCGGCTGCTGTTGCGACTGCTGCTGTTGCTTCTTCTCATCGGATTTGTACTTCGTCATGGTGGCATCCACCGGCTTGATACTCAGGTTCAAGCTCTCCGAGTTTCCGTTGCCAGAGCTCGCCGTGTTCGTCACGTTCTCGCTCGTTATCGTACCTGTCGTCATCATGGTAGGGTACACGGGTTTGCTAGTAGACTGCGCGTCAGAACCTTTTGGTAGAACGGCCATTACCGGACCACTGCCACTGTTCTCGTCTTTCCCAGTGGCGGTGGAGTTCAAGCTGCTACTTAAAAACTGCGTGTTACTCCTACTCATTGATGGCTCTTTGCACGTATCGCGAGACTCGTTTTCGCTCGGCTGCATCGAGAGATTCGTGGGTATGTCCATGTCATGTGTGCTGCCACTGGACAAAGCGGGAAGAAGGAGACTACCGGAGCTATCTGTGCCTAGGTTAATTACCGAGGTCGCGCTTGTCATCGAGAGATTGTCAGGCTTCGTTTGTACATGATCCCGTCTACCCTGGCTGGATTGATCCTCCGAACTCGTCTTCGATACGGATGACGAGGTATTCGATAACGCTTGTAGCTTTCCCTGTTCCGTCGTTTGCTTCGCTGCAAGATTGTCCAGAGTCTTCCCGCTGTCGGGAAGCATGGAGAGCTTATCTGATTTCTTGTCGGTGGAGTCCGTGTTAGCTCTAGCGGATAATTTGGGTATCTGAAGTGCAGGACTCTTGACGATGTGCACACTGACGGAAGGACTGGCTGGGAAGGCAGGAGGAGGAGGTGGTGGCGTGTTCCTGCGCACCGAAGCCGCCTGGGTCATCGCCCTCTCGGGAATGCTCGTGAAGGTCAGGCTCTTGGCCACATCTTTCGGCGTGGAAAAATCCAGCAACATCTCAGCAGCCTCCTGAGACGTGGTCGTTGGTATCTCTGTACCGGTTGCTTTCATCGCGCCTGAGGAACCCTCTGAAGACACCACCGATAATGAAGCTGAACCCGAAGAGCCTCCGGAAGACGGGACTTGTTGCTGCTGCTGCGGCTGCGACTGCGACTGTGATGGTTGTTGCTGCATCTGCTGCTGCTGTTGCGGCTGCTGTTGCGACTGCTGCTGTTGCTTCTTCTCATCGGATTTGTACTTCGTCATGGTGGCATCCACCGGCTTGATACTCAGGTTCAAGCTCTCCGAGTTTCCGTTGCCAGAGCTCGCCGTGTTCGTCACGTTCTCGCTCGTTATCGTACCTGTCGTCATCATGGTAGGGTACACGGGTTTGCTAGTAGACTGCGCGTCAGAACCTTTTGGTAGAACGGCCATTACCGGACCACTGCCACTGTTCTCGTCTTTCCCAGTGGCGGTGGAGTTCAAGCTGCTACTTAAAAACTGCGTGTTACTCCTACTCATTGATGGCTCTTTGCACGTATCGCGAGACTCGTTTTCGCTCGGCTGCATCGAGAGATTCGTGGGTATGTCCATGTCATGTGTGCTGCCACTGGACAAAGCGGGAAGAAGGAGACTACCGGAGCTATCTGTGCCTAGGTTAATTACCGAGGTCGCGCTTGTCATCGAGAGATTGTCAGGCTTCGTTTGTACATGATCCCGTCTACCCTGGCTGGATTGATCCTCCGAACTCGTCTTCGATACGGATGACGAGGTATTCGATAACGCTTGTAGCTTTCCCTGTTCCGTCGTTTGCTTCGCTGCAAGATTGTCCAGAGTCTTCCCGCTGTCGGGAAGCATGGAGAGCTTATCTGATTTCTTGTCGGTGGAGTCCGTGTTAGCTCTAGCGGATAATTTGGGTATCTGAAATTTGGTATCTAACTGCTTCATCAGACCTTCGACAATGGGCAAATTCGACAGGCTCGTCATGGAAGCGTGAGCAGCCAACAGTTTGAAGGCTCGTTCGCTCTCGCTTTCCTCCCGCAGCCCCGAAGGACTCGATTTCCTGGTGTCTCCGATACCTTTCGAGGGAAATATACTTTTGTCACCGGACTTCGATAGCCGGGACTTGTCACGGTTTCGACTGAGATCCGTCACACCGGAACTAGCCGTCTTTGGGGAACTCGAAGAAGTCTTTGAGGACATAACGCCTTTGGAAAGCAATCCGGTGTTACCGCTGCCACCTACATTGATACCCCCAGCACCGTTACCGCTTCCGGAATTCGACCCGGAGATAGTCTTCAACGCAGACAGCATTTTTTGTCCTAACAAGGTTGTTTTACCTCCGCTACTGCTGCCGGAGCCGGAAGACGAAGAGCCAGACAACTTCGGGGACGTTTGAGACGGAAGCTTCTTCGATGCAGGACCGGAACTTACTCCTGGCTTCAGGCCGGTGTGCGTTTTGGGCGAACCGTTACCTGACATGGAGGTCGACGAGGTGGACGAACCAGAAGACGTCCCAGTCGGCACAGATGCCGAGGACGAAGACAGTTTCAGATTGGTGCCAGACTTCGAGTCCTTTGTGCGAGTTTTATTGATCGTTATTTTCATCCCATCGGAACTATGCTTCACCATGTACTCAGCAGGATTCTTCGTGTCTAACGAGGAATTCTTGCTGATGCACTTTCCCTCCGCGGTTTTGTTCGACGAGCTTCCAACACTTCTCTCCTTCTGGCCGCTAGAAGCACCACTTCCGCCAGTAGACGGTTTCGTCCCGCTGTTGCCGCTGTCTTCGGTGCAATGTTGAGCGTTCTTCAGTTTATCGATCACGGCGCTTAACGATCCTTTCCTGTTTTTCGCCTGTTGCTGAGCGATCGCCGACTTGCCGAGCTCCGAACTGCCGGATGGCGGTGTGCTACCGCCACTGCTAGGCAACGTGGATTGCGTTTCCCCGCTAGGAATTAATTCCAGTTGTTTTAACTTACCACTGGAGGACTTAGTTTTCGGGCTCTGATGACCGCTCGATCCACCGAAGGCTAACGAGGATGTCTTTCTCTCCTTCTCTCGATTGGAGTCTTTGCCCGACGACGAAGAGGAAGACTTTATCTTTGATTGTCCGGAATCGGTGGTTTTACTCGACGGAGAGTTGGCCGCGGATTTCAGCGCAGACATACTCGGTTTTCCAGTGCTGGCTGAACTGCCATGCTTCGGCGACGATGTACCGTGCTTTGGGCTCACACTCGCAGGTACTGGCGTATGCTTGGGACTACTGCTGTAGACCGGAGAGTGCTTTGGACTTTGCACTGGCTTGTTTGTTGACTGTTTCAATGTAGGACTGGACTTACCTACGAGAGCAAGTGGACTGGTATGCGTCGGAGACGGACTAAATTTTCGTAAAGTGGTCGCTGGTGACGATGGCCGTGAGCTTAAGTTCGGTGGTGATTCGGTCGGTTTAATGCTCACAGAGACCGGTTTCGACAGTGGGTCCTGTTTGGATGGTATCTTATCCGGCGGTGGTCCCATAGGACTGTCTTCTCTTTTGCGCTTACGTCTCTTTTCCAACTTTCCCTTATCCTCTGTCGACTTTCCCTTGGAACTTTTCCGTTCCCTACGCTCGTCCGTTAGACTTTTCGACTGTGTTGGGCCAGCTATCGGAGTTATAGTGATAGAATTCGGTAAAGTGGTCTGCGGCGATGACGCTATCGGTATTATTTCAATTCCTGGCCTCCTTTCCAAACCCATCCCCGTAAGTACAGAGTTATAGTTCGTAGTTTGACCCAAACTACTGCTTGAAATTGGCGTTATACTTACTGATGGCGGCACTAAGCTTTTGTTCTCTTCGAATATAATGGGGCTCTTTTTCTCTTCCCTTTTCCTCGATTTGCGGTCTCGTTTGATCAGCTCTTCCACATCTTGCAAATCGTGGACTTCCGTTATTTCGCTCTCGTTATCGATATCGTAGTCGGAACTTTTGTCCGTTCCCAAAATATCGGTGGGATCTAAGTTAGAAAAATCTAAACCGCTAGTTAAACTCGTGGCCGAGGTGGGCGTGGACGTTCTCGTTTCATTCAAATTTTCTCTGCCACCGGTTGGTGTACCGAGAGGCGTCGAATCTGAACTGGAGCTCTCTAACAATATTTCTGCGGTCTCGTCTCCTTTCCGTTTGGGACTCCGCCAAATACCGTCCGCAGTTTTTCTCTTGCGCGTTTTCTTTGAACGTTCGTTTATGGGATTAGATAATGAGTTTTTTGCTTGCCCAAGCAACGCTCCCAATTGTAGAGGATTCAGCATAGCAGTTGTGGTATCGGATTGGCCGGAATAAGACGGAAAACCGATACTATTCTCCGTTCCGGCATCTAAAAAAGACTGCTGCTGTTGTTGTTGTTGTTGTTGCTGCTGCTGCTGCTGCTGTTGTTGCGATGACTGTTGCCTTCCCATGGTTCCATTTCCGTTATTTAAACCGGGTTCTTGCTTGATTTTCGCTTCTCCATTAGTGAAATCAGGCATTCCTGAACCATTTTGATTATTCTGGTCTTTACCGGAACCGAGGTTTATATTGTAATTTCCATTTCCACTATTCAGGTTACTCATCGTGTTTAAGGAGTCGCGACTTTCCCATGATTTCATAAGAATTCTCATTGTCAGAGGTATACTCAGACACTTCTGTAAAACCTTTCCAGTCAAATCTGACGTCTGCTCTGTATTCGTTATGCTTATGCCATACAATTTACACTTTAGTGCAGAAATGTCTGTTAAGTCGAGCTCCGCCGTTGCCATTGTCTCCTCGAAAGGATGCTCCAGACTTACCGATATGTGTTGCCATGATAAAGCGCTCACTTCGAATATAGTCGCGTGTTCCGGATCTTGCCGAGCCATGGGTCTAACGCAACTACTGATCAAGGTATTGAATAGCGCTTGCTGTCGTAAGTATACCAAAATTTGTGGAACATGTGCCGGATGAGTGAAAGGAATGCTACACACTAACACACCCTCCAAGTTTTTATTCTCCGTCATGAAGTAACAATGCTGTTGGTCTGGTAGACTCTGTAACGAAACGCAAATTTGAAATAGTGAAGGTTAGGTTAGGTTAGTAAGTGTATAAAGAGTTTTACATACGACATAAAGTCCTCTATTGTTTCGACAGTCCAATTGACCCTCACTAGCATGTTGAATAATTAAACTAAGTAATGGATGGGGAGCAGATATATCTCCACATTCGAGCTCTGTCACTTTCTGTATTCTACGCACTAGTTCCATGCACATTGGCATCTTCTTGGCAAGCTTCAATACGAAGCAAGCGGGCAATACAGATGAATTTGTACCAGTTAATGGAGCATAAGATGGGGTACTAAAAATGATCTATTATTAGCCACATTTTAACTAAAGTGAATGTAAATATACTTCTGTTCTTTAAAGAGTTACAAACCTTTTTCCCGTTGGACTTCTATTTACAGTTATGATACTAGATGTAGGCAACTTATGAGCAGTCGAACCTTCCATACAAACTGTTACGGAATGACCAATCTTCCGTTTAATAACTATTTCTGAACTCAGCGCATCACAGGTACGATTCTCCTGATCTATCAGATCATACGGAGAAACAAAATATGTCAGTTTCATCGCATGACCGCCTCTTCTTCGCTCGAGGATTCCTAAAAATACCAAATTATTTTATTAAACATATTAAAATTTTATGCTTCTATTTTATAAATAAGTAAAGATACCAACCTACTGGGCTTTTATGAACAAGGTTAAAAGGTTCCTTTATAAATGTTTGCAATTGAGCTAGAATACCCAGATCAGCCTCTAACGACTGTAAAGCACTGAATGCTTTACATTTGACCTTCTTATCTGCATTTAATTGATATATTGAAGCTAAACCTTCTAATTGTACTGTAAAATCAAGGAAGTCCCCACGTGACAAGCAAGACACCAATACATCACAGCTCTGTAAACGTTTTGTTAAAATTAGTTAATTTTTAACACAAATTAGAATTCCAAATAATTGAAATACAAAATATTGCACCTGCTGCTCATTCTTTCCTTCATGATGAATTTTAACATCTTTAACTACACCTGATGGTTCCAAAAGAACTTCCAAAAAGAACATATCTGAGGAGATAAACAACTCAGTACCTGGTGGACCAGACATCATAAACTTTAAGCTGCAACAAAACCATTACACAAATATTGACTGAGACATTTAGAAGTATTTTTTATTCAATAATTAATGTATTAGTATTTACCCTAATTGCCTCGTCAAACTCTCCAAACGTTCCACCATAGATTGCAAAGATGTTACTTTTATGGAATGTTGCAAAGTATCCAAACATTTTTGTAGCTGACTTTTTTCGGCACTATCGATTGCGAACCTTTTATCCTATTATCACAAATGTTATTCATGAAAAACAATTCAATACTCCGTTAAGTTTTCCTTGATACTTACCAACATAGCCATACGTAAATTTTTTGCCGTTTCCACCAAAGATTTAAAGGAGGAGGCTTTAGAGCGTAACTTCTCCATAAGCAACTCCATCTGCCACTCTTTCCCCTTATCCATTGGTGAACCTCCAGTGGCAGAAGGTTGCCCACCTACATTACAAAAGATACATAAAAAGTTGCCTATTATTGTCCTAAAATTATTAAATATGTAAATCTTTTTGCAATAAATAAATTGAACATCATTTCACAGTTACAGTTATGTCACCATAACTGTATTAATATGTTGTATTTATGCAGAGTATGAAGATACAAAAATTTAATATAACATCCAAACTTTTTACAGTCAAAATAAAGGTTTTGTCCACATACGAATTTTTCGTTTATGAAGAGATAAAAGAAAATTTTGTAGATTCCATTAAATAAATTTTAAATTGCTCTCACCAAGGGGCTTTTGTCCGTTCGCAACATCCATGTATACCGTGGTGCTACACGGATGTTGAAATTTATGCCTATATTGATTATGTTCGCTGTTATAATATCACAACAACATTATTACACACTACATTGTGACAGGAGGTGTTATTTTCACCTAACCCACGTTTGATCACTTAACTGCTCCTAACCTTCACCCACAATATACTAACTATACTTAGAAGCCATACGTTTCTACTGTATAGGCGTTTTCATCCATAACATGTTTTTAAGAGGGGGAATTCTATGACGCTTTATTAAGGTCTGCTCTTTTACACCCTCTACAGTTATGCTTTACACATTAATATTCATTAGCATGTTTAAAACATCTGTACAGAAAATTATCGATTACCGTGAAACGCTAAACTTTTATTTATTATTTGATATAATTTCTTAAGTTCGTGCAAATAATACAACGTATTGCACGCAGGTTCGAAATGTGGTTATAAGTTTCTGTACAAAAGATAATTGCACTCATGAGGTATAATACTGTTTATATAAATTAACAAAGTTTATATAGGTATAATTATTAAATATGTATTACATCTGTTGCAATATCTAGAATGTGTTTTGGAACGTTGAACGAAGCTTTAAAATGCGTTTACAACGACATCTACTACCGCGTCGAAAAACAGAATTTTTTACGCATTCTTGCATAAATTTTTTAAAACAAAATGTGTGAGATTTTGAAAAATCTTCATGCACCGATATCGACCAAATTATGTAAATAAGCTTTTTTTTGCAGGAGAAGATATATGTGAGAATGGTTTTTGGTGACTTGAGAGAATATTTTCTGCCATTTTTGTCATTTCCTGTATCATCGATGAGGTACAGTGTAGAGTGAGAATTGTTGTGAATACATAATTCACATTTTGGGACCCACGAAATTTATTCTAAACAACATAAAATCAATAGTTAATTAATATATAATGAATGCGTAGCATATTAATTAATAAAATCGGTATTAATTGAATTTTTACGAAAATGGAACAAGTGGCGCCATCTCTTCTGCGAGCAGGGTGAACTACACACTTTTGAAACTGCAGTTTGATTAATTCTCGTTTTCTACCGCAAGATGGCGGCACAAAAGACACAAACCCTTAGGGTAATTAAGACTAACCTAAAAATGTATAGTTTTAAAACAAATTGATAATAGTTTGAAACAATTTCAAAACAGCTTGAAGTTATTTAATCTTGCATCCCGATGTAATACAATTCATATTATAGTTAATTAAGCTAATAAAATCAACTTTATCAATTGAATTGAATCGAGACGGTACACGTGGCGTCATCTTGTGGCAGTATGCGTGAACTAATGAAACTACAGTTTCAAAACCGTGTAGTTCACCCTGTTCGCCGGAGAGATGGCGCCACATGCTCAATTTTAAAAAAACAATTCAATTTACATTGATTTTATTTGTTTAATTAATTTTAATTTGCATTAAATTACATCAGAAAGCAAGAGTAATTAATTTCTTAAATATATGAAACGAAAATAGCTAAGATGAACTTCACCTCAAGGTTATATCTCCAGAAATTTTATAGTAACGTTTTTAGATGTAATTCGATATTCTGACGTAATTTGATATTTGCTTAATGCACTACGTAAACCAATTCAAGTTAATTTATACACGTAAATAAAAAATATCATTTCAGGTCCAGGAAACAAATTTTAATTACAATATAATTCTAAATAACGTCGAAAATATTCTTTATTAATGAACATTCTTTTTCCAACATACATTACCGAATTTTTTATAAAATCTACGCAAGTAAACTTGATTACTTATTTAAACGCATTGCTAGATTAACAACGCTGCTACGTTAAAATTTTCATCGTTAACAAATATTACATGAAGATGAAAATAGTTTCTAAAAAACTAGGTCTCAATTTTTTCTAAAATTTCTCTTACAAAACTTTTACATATTGGTTAATATAGTTTTTCATTTAATATTAAACATTAGGTACTCTTTTGTTTCATTCGATATTTGAGCCGTTCACTGACCAAAAATTATTACAAAATTGATTAAAAATTTATTTTCACTTTTTTCATTTTCTTTTTTGAATGATAGAATAATCGATTGTAAGTAAAACAGTGAGAAAAATGTACCAGCAGTAAAACTCATTGTCAGTCCTTTTTTTATTTTTAAGATTAAGAATTTGTTAAATTTGAAAAATTAGAATTAACTATTTTTTTAAATTTTTGATTTATAAATTTAATTAATGTAATTTATAAATTTAGTAATTGAAGAATTGAAAATATAGAAAATTTAGAAATATAAAAATTTCAAATCAGACTTTTTACTGATTTCATTTTCTTTTTCACTAAGTTTGGTAAATGAACAGCTCATTCATTAAAAACATTAAAAAATTTTTCATTTCTATTTCGTACTACTTATTACCCTAATACTTTATGGCATCTTACCCATATAGCTCTCTTACCAGCAAACGGATTTCATTTAATACTGATAGCTTTCCAACAAAAACAATTTAAAAAAAAAACAACACAATTGCACCAATTGGACATTGACTCTCAATTTTGTATCAGTCATCTCCAAATCTTTTAACACATCTACATTAGGAACTAGTTTAACGGATCGACTGTCTCCAATTCAACCTCTTTAAAAACAAATTTAGATTTTAATACAATTTTTTCGTTCTCGCAGGCTTGGTTCTCTTTGAAATTTGCAAAGTTACTACTTAAAGAGAAACAAATGTGGCTGCGCTTCCAAAAAGCTGTGGAACATGATCGAATTTTACAAGGATATGCATAAAAACAATTTGAAGGACTGCCATTTTGTGTCATCCTCTACTTTACCGACAGAGCAAGTGAACTTAAAATGGCGGATAGCAACCTTTTCGTAAAATGTAATATTTGATGAAAACACTAACTTCAATCATTTTACAACTTCATATCTGTTTAGGTATTTACTAAATAACTGAAAAATTAATTTATTTAAAAATTTGGAGTGTAAAATATTCAATAATTATTTAACTTAAGAATCATAACATCCATCTTAACATTCCAATAAAAAGCGACTACTGTTAAACCATCATATTCCAACATCTCTAATGAAACTACTCTACTCCTCTAAAAAATTTGCTCATATTCCACAGCTCTTCGGAAGCCAGCAAAACTATATTTGCCTATCTAACTGAAGCACCGATTGGATGCACAGTCTCATTTAGGAAAGTCTTTAGAGTCGTTCATGGACTGGCCCTTTTTCCGTGGTAACTGTAACGTGATCGGCTGAACGTCCTGTACTTTCCTGGGCCCCTGATTCGAGCTGCGAAACGTGATCTTCAGGTTGGGCACGTGTTGCTCTGCCGTCCAGTCAAAATTAAAAATCGGTGTCTCCGGATGTAGCTCAGAGTCCGGAGTGTCGACAGGAGTGGTCGGCGTCGCCACGTAAGGACTCAGTTCTTGGTGCACAACGTCCGGTACCCTCTGCAGGGTGTCTGACCACACTGGACTGGAGTTCCAGTGTTCCATGGGCAGCTCCGAGGGATCGACGTTTCCCGTCACCGTCGACGATAGACCCTTTACCGGAAGTCTCTTGTGAACACTGCTCCTCTCGTTGCAACAGTACTCCTTATCCAAATCTGTGATGTAGTACTTGGGCGACACGTTCACGTTGTATTGCCCGTGGCACTGAATGAACTTCGCACGGTAGCCGGTCAGATTCAGCGAATTCTTGTGGTGCGCTTTGTACCTGTCCGTGAACTGCCCCAGAGAGTAACCGTGCTGCATGTGCACGTGGATATTCCTGTTCTCGTGCTCGCTGCTGCTTATCGACATGTCCACGGGCTCAGCGTCCTCCCGGTTCCTTGCTCCAAAGTCCTTTAATTGAGACTTGGAGCCGTGAAGGTCCTCGGAATTTCGGATGTCTGGAGAGTGCTGGGTGTCGTTGTTGTGCGACAAGCGAGTGTAGTCTTGCTGGTTGTTCTGACTTCCGGTCGCGTATGGCACACTGCGGTTCTGACCGGAACAGATGGTGTAGGTGAACTTTGATTGGGAGGAGTATTGGTAGAGCCAGGAACTTGAACGCATTACTTCCGCCTCTCTGTCACTGAAATAGATCAAATAAATACAATTAGTTAGTACATATGGTTAGTGCCTATTTGTTATACATCATTTATATGTGACGCTTATTTAACAAAAACTTTATTGTAGGTCGAAAATGTAGAACAGTTTCCTTTCAATTTTTATGTATAATACATTTTGTTACTGTTAGAACATTTTCGAAAATTTTAATGTGGAATGTGAAAAATAATTTGAACAATTTAATAACAATGAAAATACGAGTAGGTTCTTAGTTTGTTGTCTGCAATATTTTGTAAGTAAAATTGAGAACTGTAATACTTTGTAAATAAAATAAAAAATTGCTTTGGAAATAAAATTAGAAGCAGCAGTACCTTGTAAATAAAATAAGAAATTGCTTTGTAAATAAAATTAGGAGCAGCAATACCTTGTAAATAAAATAAGAAATCATATTGTGAATAAAATAAAAAATTGATTTGTAAATAAAAATAGAAGCAGCAATATCTTGTAAATGAAATAAGAAACCATCTTGTGAATAAAATTAAAAATTGCTTTGCAAATAAAATTAGAAGCAGCAATATCTTATAAATGAAATAAGAAACCGTCTTGTAAATAAAATTAAAAATTGCTTTGTAAATAAAATTAGAAGCAGCAGTACCTTGTAAATAAAATTAGAAACCAATATACAATAGAAAATGAAGAGAACAGCAAAGAGGAGAACGCAATGGAGGAGGAGATATTTGAAGATTCAAAGTCGAAGTATAAATATGGAAACATACCTCAAAACTTGATTCGTGCACACAATGATAGGATGTTGACATTCTTCGGAAGTATCTTTGACTTGTAAAACGCAGTGTACCCAGAACCACCGTCCGGAACGACTTTGCAGCCTCAACAATGCGGTTGCAGACCGTTCTTGATCAGATTGAATAACTGTAACAATCGTGGATATTATCAAACCTTTCGAACGTTTTAAATACTGAAACATTTTCCTTTGGTTCTTAGATTAGCGGGTTTTTAGAACTGGTTTAGATTTAAGTTAAGTGAAGTGAACTGGTTTGCGTTGAACTTTAGGGTGAAGCTAAAAATTATGGTCTTTTAAAGAGTTTATTCTATTGGAGTGTAAATCTTTCGGTTTAAGTAATATGAGGACAAATATGATGTTAAACATTTTGTTATTATTACTGTTTTTAACAAAATATTTTAGTAAATTATTTCTTACTAAATTAGTTTGAGTAAAATGTAGTTTGTAGTAAATTTTAACCCTGATCACATTATGTGATGAGTATGAAACAACCCTTAAGTTAGCTTTAATTTTACTTTCTCCTGAAAATCTGAATAAATACGTTTCTTGAAACCCTGATATTTTTAATATATTTAACCTTGAACTATTATACACCAAGAGTGTTACTAAAATTTTAGCCCTTCATATTAAAATAGAAATAATTTTGAATTTTTCTGATTGTGAGAAAGCTTCAAAAAGTTTCAAAAAATTCTTTCAGTTCTTTCTTCTTCAATTTTGTTTTCATATGCAACGTTCAAATTTAATATCAGCCATGAACTTTTGATTATAATGTTTAAAATGAAGATTACAATTTTTTTCAAGTTAAAATAATGAGTAGCTTATGAAATTTATTTAGTAGCTCATGAAACTTATTTAGTAGCTTATGAAATTATGATTAGTAGGGTTTTGAACGTCTCGGTGTGCTTTTGCTCTGATAAAGTGTGATGTACATATTAAAAGTATAGTTCTTAGTAAAATGTTTTAAGTATAGTCTTCTTGTAAACATACCAGTCTGATGTTTGCAGTACGCTGTTCGTATAGAATCCCAGTGTAACAAATTGTACCACGACACGTTTACTAATTCGTTACGCGTATACTCCAAATGGCTTTCTGCTCTGTAAATGGGACAGAATATTTTGTATTCGAAAACTGAGGGCCGCCGCTTGGTATAATGGCACAATCTCGGATTTCTTTACTTTCAAGTCTACATTCTTTTTTCTATTTCTTACAGTATTACAATCTACACATAATTAATAATTTATAAGTCTTGCATTTGGTAGCTTGAAAAATTACAAAGTAAAATATGAAATTTCATTTAATATAAATGTACTTTAAATTTATATTAAATTAATGTTTAAAAATTGCAAATTAGGAAATGAAATTTTATTTAACATAAATACATTGACTATTTATACTAAATTAATATTCGAAAAATTACAAACTAAAAAATGAAATTTCACTCAACTTTAATTTTAATTTTCAATTTTTAGTTTTCTTGTAAATTTAATATAAATGTATGTTAAATTTAATTCAATTTATGGATTGAATATTAAAATTTAAATTAAAATTCAATGTATACTTAATACAATTGCAGAACATTTTTAAAAGTATTTCTAAAGTATACGTTTTTTGAGTTGTGCCACTATTAGTACTAAACAGCAAACAGTATTTATTTGGAATAAAAAATAAAGATTACGTTTTATCGATATGAAGATACTTCATATCCATAGAGTGAATCGTGGTGAAAATATTTGTCGCACCCTGCACGATACTTTCTCGTGTTTCTGGCAAAATAACTGGTGTGCACGAAGCAAGAAAAACAAATTCGTTTCGATTGCAAACAGGAACGAAAGGCAAAAAGTGTCCTTCGACAAGAACCACCTAAAAATAAATTATAACAAAACTAAACAAACAAATGAAAAGAAAATCGCAAAATATAATAATGTTGTTTAAATTTGTAAGGGTGAAGAATAAATTCAAGTAAGAAATTCAAGTAAGAAGTTCAAGTAAGAAGTTCAAGTAAGAAGTTCAAGTAAGAGATTTAAGTAAGAAATTCAAGTAAGAAATTCAAGAAATTCAAGAAATTCAAGAAATTCAAGAAATTCAAGAAATTCAAAAAGTTCAAGAAATTCAGGAAATTCAAGAAATTCAAGGAATTCAAGAAATTCAAGAAATTCAAGGAATTCAAGAAATTCAAGAAATCCAGGAAATTCAAGAAATTCAAGTATTTTAAGAAGTCCAAAGAATTCAATAGATTCAAAGAATTCAATAAATTCAAAGAATTCGATAAATTTGATAAATTCGACAAATTCAACAAATTCAACAAATTCAAAAAATTCAACGAATTCAATAAATTCAATAAATTCAATCAACAAATAATTAATGTAGAAAAATACCAAAAGTGAAACGTTAAATTATGAATAAGTAAAATGAATATAAATATTAATAAACAAAATACAATTAAAACGCAAAATTAGTATAACACAATTGATATATCATAAATAAAGAGGAAGTTTAATATACATGTAGAAATAAATAAGAATCAAGTTCGATATGAAACTAGAAGAATGGGATATAAAACTACACTAAATATTGTTAGTATAGCTAATAAATTATAATGTTGTTAATATTATTATACTATTGTATTTTTAAGACCACGAATAGTACCTTTTGATCACCAAAACGTAGTTGTCTCCGTGAGTTTCTAGATACGTTGATGCGACAAAGAAATAATCTCCGATCACTTGGAATTGGACTATTTCTAGATAATTGATTTTGTACAACCATATGATCCTGTTTGTCTATCACATCGTAAACGCTATCTCCGTGGATCAACAGATCTTCCTAAAACGTATTGCGCAACGTATAATACTAGAATTGAATTACTTTCTCTTTGAGATACAACTATATTAGAAATATTATATTTTAGATTAATAGTGAACAATCTTGTTGGTCGAATACAGGTACACTGGCGTAATTTGAGGAGTCAGAAATTTTGAATGTTGAAGATTTAGAAATTTCGAAATTGGGAAATTTCGAAATTAAGAAATTCAAGAATGTGAGGAATTGGAAACTGCAAATATACAAATTAACAAATTTAGGAATTACAAACTTGAATTACAAACTTGAATTATTACAAATTTAGGAATTACAAAAATTCAGAAACTTAAGTTTACAAAAATTTCCAGATTTCAAAAGTGAGAAAGTTAGTACAAAATTTGAAAATTGGGGATTAGGAAATTTGGGAACTTAAAAATGTAAGAATTTTGAAACTCAAGTACTTAGAATATAAATTCAATAATATGAAAATCAACAAGTTGAAGTTTAAAGAATTATAAAGTCCACATATTAGGAATTGCAAAATAGGAAAATTTTTGATACTAGATAGGAAATTTAAAATTTTAAAGATTCTTAAATTTGAAAAACGTAAAATTACAAATTCTAAAATCTGAGACCTAAAAATCTCTTAATTTTAAATTTGCAAAGTTGAAAATAAAAAATTTGAAATTTGTAGGGTTAAAAATTAAAAATTAAGAAATTGCAAAGTCAAAACTAAAAATTTTAAATCTGCAGAAGTTGAAAATTAAAAATTTGCAAAGTTAAAAATTAAAAATCAAAAATGTGTAAAGTTAAAAATTAAAAATTTTAAATTTGCAGAGTTAAAAACGTAAAATTTCAGTTTACTGCCAGTTACGCCAATGTTAACACATTCTACAGTAAATTGCATGCAAGAATAATAAAAATTGGTATCATTGCATAGCGAACTCTCAACATTGTTGATTACCGTAAGTATTATCTCTTTTTTGTAGTTACTTTACCATAGAGTGTCCAAGGTATTCTGCCGCATTTTCCGATATATACAACAGTTTCCCTTGCTGGGTCATCATCATTATAAATCCGGACATGGCCTGAAAAATTGCATGCATTGTATGGCCAACATTTGTACCGCAACAACTAACGGTCAGAAATACAATGCGATATGATGATAAACAATATTACTTTTGAAAATCCTATATTAGGAGTCGGGATATTCGAAGAGTCGGACGGACAGTTTTTCAAGGCTGAAACAAACACAATTGTTATTAACAATAAATCTTGTAGTATTTAATAAACATTTATAAATAATAACATTTATTATTACAATCATTATATTATTTATTTTATTTCAATAATTATAACATTTGTTATGTTGTTAAATAATATGATGTTTATTTATTTTAATATTATTTTATATATTTGTTAACAATATTATAATATTGTAATATTATTTATTTAATATTTAATAAACATTTAATAATAAATGTTGTTATTACAATCATTATATCATTTATTTTATTTCAATAATTATAACATTCGTTATATTGTTAAATAATCTGATGTCTATTTATTTTAATATTATTTTATATGTTTACTAACAATATTTCTAATATTTATTAACTTGAAAGTAAATTAATCTGAAAAGAATTAAAAATTAATTCCTTAATTTGAAATTAAAAATGAGACACAAAAATGAATGAAAAAATATTGAAATATAAATTAATTTACATGTCGTTTAGTTATCTCAGTGAAAATCAATACAAATTTTAAAAATGACGTCTTACAAATTTTGTTGTTTAAAACAAGAAGCTAGTGAATGGATTATTTTACTAATTTGATAGTTTTAGTATTCAATTTGTCAAATTAATTGTGTGAAAACGTTTTGTCTTCTTCTTGCCAGTAGCGTATTTTAAATTCGAAGAAATTCCCGCCATTTTTCATATATTTCAAACCTACAGTTTAATTACAATTTTTAATGAAATAATTGATATTTTTATGTTAAAATTTTATGTTTTTTTAGTAAATATCGAATTTGAATGTAAAATATTAATTTATCTTTATCGAATATTGAATTTGAACGTAAAATATTAATTTAATTTTATTAAATATTCAGTCTGAGTATGAAATATTAATTTAATGTAAATTATTAGAATTTGTGAAATTTTATTAATTATTTTGAATTAATTTATTTATACAGTTAATAAAACAAATGAAAATATGATATAAATTTGAAAGTTTATCAAAAAATTTGAAAATTTGAAAGTTTGTGAATTAAAAAATATGAAAATATTAAGCTTCTACATATACTTAACACTACAAAGACCAATCAATACATCATTTCATTTCAAAAACCCTAAAATTCTACTCCCAATCCTCAGAACTAAAATCCCCCATATAGATAGCAAAAAATTCCCCATAAATTTTCAAAAAAAACCCAAGGAAATAACCTCATTTTATTAAATTCCTTTCATAACAATTAAACCTTTATTTTACAACAATAACTTAGAAATTTAAAGCGTTCCCATCAAGTTTTATTACAGTGTTTTAATTTTAAGTTAAATAACGTATAATTGAGTTGCGACTACGCGTTTTTACTACCTCTGGTGCATAATATGCAATAAAACTTGAACTCTGGATAAAATAACATTGCAGCGCATGATATGATGTTCGAGAACAGTAATACTCGATAACATTACTCATACGACTCTATCGTTATTGCTGTTTTTATTATTCATAAACACTGATACTTAAAACGTCTATCGGTAAGACACTTTTTTATCTGAATAATAATAAAACGTGTTATGGACTGCGTTGTTTATGTCAGCGAGAAAGCAGCTAGGAATTTCAAAACAAATATACAAAATTCTAATTCCTTCTTTTTTTATTCTGCTAAAATTTTTAAATCAGTTCGGATAAAATGTATACTGGGTAAAAAAATCGTTCGATGATTCATTATAAGCTTTTTAAATGAAGCTATACAAACGTATGAAGCAGCTACACAAAAAATCTAAATCTGATAAGGAAGATATTTCGATAATTATTTTACAATGTTACACTTTTAAATGATTTTACACTTGTTCGCAATCTACGTAAAATATTCAGACGAGAAAATTTTTCTCTATCAAAGAGAATAGTATACACTAGTATAAACATGACTAGTCTACATAATATTCTTGACATAAATGATTAGGTTCTTGTCGAAAGAGGATCTGAGCCGAGCAAGGTAGCCATTTTGCGAGGTGATTAAAAATCCCCGATCCCTCGGTTGAGAGACACTGATTTACCCGACGAAAAAGGCGGGAATTCACGGAAAATTTGTTGGAAGTGCGCGTTTTCTTGTAGCAGAGGGGGAAAAGAAAAAACAAAGTAGAGAGGAGGGAAAGAAGCCTTATGCTAATGCAGCATAGCTACGTTTACAAACGGCGTTACACGGGACTATAGTATCGAATACTGTGAAACAATGAGTATGTAGAAGAGAAAGAAAGAACGACGGAGAGCGGAGAGACGATACAGAGGGAGTATGGGTTACAGGAGCGTGAGAGTGTTGTTGCAAAGGCCGACAGGTCAGCGGATCACCCGGAACTCGCGCTTAGACTCCGCTGAGTTTGAATGTACTCCGATCTTACCTTCTTGCCTTACCTACCTCCCTACCTTTTACCTATATATTACTCTCTACGCTTGCACAACGGAGATGCCCGAAGTTTTTGATGCTCGAACGACCGTTTAATATTCTTGTCAAGGGGAATTTTCCCATTGCTCGATGGGAGAAACAGACCATTGCTGATCGAACTTATTCTGCTTACAGATATTGGGCGAATTTGGTACACTCGGAAATTAGTTGATTTCGATGCACTCAGAAATTAGCCAAATTCGAGACACTTAGAAATTAGGCTATTTTGATACACTTAGAAATTAGGCTATTTCGATACACTCAGAAATTAGGCTATTTCAATACACTCAGAAATTTCGATGCACTCAGGAATTAGCCAAATTCGAGACACTTAGAAATTAGACTATTTCGATACACTCAGAAATTTCGATGCACTCAGAAATTAATCAAATTCGAGACACTTAGAAATTAGGCTATTTCGATACACTTAGAAATTAGGCTATTTCGATACACTTAGAAATTAGTTAATTTCGATGCACTCAGAAATTAGCCAAATTCGATACACTTGGAAATTAGCCAACACTTAGAGACACTTAGATATTGGTCAAATTACACCTTTCAAATTTGATACGAAAGTGCACTGAGTGAGTCTATCGTAAGTTATTAAGGTACTAGAGTAAATATGTGGATTCTGAAAAGACTGCTTTGTTTCTAATCCCTCAAATTCTTTGATTCCTGAATTTCTTTAGATTCTGGATCTTGAATGATGGATTACTAAATTCTTCGAGACACAAATTTCACAATTTGCAACTACCTAGATCCTCAAATTTCTAGTTTCACTTTTAGTGACCACAAATTCCGAGGTCTCTATATTCTTAAAACTCTAAATTTTCAAATTTGCAAGTAGCTAGATCCTCAAATTTCTATACCTTCAAATTCTTGGACTAAATCCATAAATCTCCAAGTACTTAAGTACCCAAATACTTGCATTCCTCAAATCTTTAGCGTTACTTTCTGTGTCCCCAAATTCTCAGGTCACCAAATCCTTAAAACCCCAAATTTCACAAGGCTCAATTACCTAGATCTCCTGATTCTTGCTTTCCTCGAATCTCTAACTCTACTGTTTATGTTCTCAAATTCTTATATCACCAAATCCTTGAAAACCCCAACTTCAAAATTCCTAAATACCTACATCTCTAAATTCTTGTATTCCTCAAATCCTTAGCTCAAATCTTTAGTTACAAATGTTTCTGTCTCCACATTCTCAGCTCACCAAATCCTTAAAACCCCAAATTCGAATTTGCCTAATTACCTAGATCCCCAAATTCTTGCATTCCACAAATCCATAGTTCAAATCCCTAGTTACAAATTTCTATGTCTCCAAATTCTCAGCTCACCAAATCCTTAAAACCCCAAATTCAAATTTCCCCAATTACTTAGACCCTCAAATTCTTGCATTCCTCAAATCCCTAATTTCACAAACTTCTCTGTCTTTAAATACTCTAAGTCCTCCAATCCTTGAAATCCCAAATTCAAAATGTCCCAATATCCAAATCTCCTAACTCCTGTATTCCCCAAATCTCAAACTCCACAAATTTCTATGTCTCCAAATTCTCAGGTCAATAAATCCTTCAATCCCCAAATTAAAATTTCCCCAATTACTTAGACCCCCAAATTCTTGTATTCCTCAAATCCCTAATTTCACAAATTTCTCAATCTCTAAATACTCTAAGTCCTCAATTCCTTAAAACCCCAAATTCAAAATGTCTCAATATCCAAATCTTCTAATTCCTGTATTCCCCAAATCCCTAGCTCTACAAATTTCTACATCTCCAAATTCTCTTCGTCACGTTCCCAAATCTCCACATCAACAAATCCATAAAACCCCAAATTTCAAAATCCCCAATTTCCTAAGCCACCCAATTCTTGCACCCCACATTTCCACAACCATGTCTCAAACAATTATCAGCCCACAGACTGCAATTTTCATGAATTTGATAAATGAATATGGTATCATACCCAATATTATGTATCCATATATTATATAATACATAACACAAATCCATATATTATATTCCAACTTCATAAATTGGATATATTACTTCAGTATTGTAGTTTACGTGAGCCGATAACTTTATACGCTCCGCCGTTTCGTTGACTGTCTTAAAGCGGTTAAAAATTTGATTAGGTATCTTTAGTTTGAACAAATCTTATCAAAAATTTTGCCGAATATTTTCGCAATATTTTGTTGCGTTTGTTGTTCATAGTTCCAGGTTGATACGAGTTTCGATCGGATGCGAACAAATTCTTAGGAATGTAGATTAAATTCGTATTAAAATTGAAGCGTCCGCCATATTAGCCATGGCAGTCGAAGTTGAGTGTATGAAGTCAGCTTGTTGAGTGGGTAAAATATCGGTCGCACACGAAGACTACAAAGAAATAGATTTCGTATGCTCGATTTGGGAAAATACAGGAAAAATAAGTTTTAGTTTCAACTGTTGTTCAATAAAATATCGTAATAGCAACTTTCAGAGGATTTTAGAAACTTTGAAAATATTTGGAAACTATAATATCGTTTCGGAATGACTTGCAATTATCCTAAACAAAGAATTATAAAATAAAATTACATTTTCT